TTCCTATTTTTTTTTTCTCTGTATTTATAATGTCCGAGCAATTCTGTTTCTACTGAAAGCTGAAATTTTGGTTTGCTTCTTATGAATGTTGCTTTAAACAGATTTAGTGATACTTAAATCTGTGCTCTGAACTCCCTTCTGATTTTCTCAGGTAAAGTTGGATAATGAGAAGAAGGATGGCTTTAATGGCCAATATGATGTAATTTGCAATGCTCGTTTACCACGGGGTTTGAATCCTCATTCTGTTCCATCGGAGGAGCTAGCAGCATCTCTGGGGTATACACATTACTTTTTTTTTTTTGGTTGGGGTGGGGGGGGGGGGGGGGTTATGTTTCTTTGCTGGTTAGAAATGTCATCATCATTAATATTTATGTATCGCGGGTAACACTTTATGATTTTACTAACTATAACAGGGATTGTGACCATGTTGTCTATGTATATAGGATGACTTTTTATGAATCTCATTTTTATCATTGGATGTGATTGGGTGGAGAAATTATAATTTTTTGTCCCGTGTATCAAGATAACTTAAGTGAATATGTAAGCAATAAAAGTAAAGTGGCAAGTGTAATGTTTCAATGAGAGCACAAACGAGTTTCAATGAGAAGTGGTGTTCCTGCTTTGTCAGATGGAATTCTGTTTTATGCAGTGAAATTATTTAATGCATATATTGATGTTGTACATTCTCGGAATGTCTAAATATGAAATACTAATCAATAAACAAAACAGGTATATGGTGCAACTGCTGAATCTTGTTAATAATGTCCTGTGTCTGCCCGCACTTCACAACTCTGGTTTTGCTGTAAGTTCTCATTCAGATGCTTGATTGTCTTAGAAACCTTATATTTTAGCTGTCCTATTTAATAGTTGGGAATCTATTATCTGTGTTTCACATATAAGTTTGATTCTTCTGTTGTTATCATTTTTGCTGCTATTCAACATTCCTAATTCTCTCTTCAGGGTTCTTGCTCTCGAATATGGCAACGGGATTCTTACTGGGATGCTCGTCCATCCTCTCGAAGGTATCAATTTAATATCTAGCTTTGAATCTATTATTAGTTTATAACTCCCTCTATTCCTTTTTGTTTACCCGACTTTCCTTCATTGGGATGACCCAAAGTATGTGGACCATTCTTTATGTGACCACTAAGTTTATTTTTCTACTTTCTCTTTTTATCTCTATTTTTTCACTCGTAAAAAAGCATTCCAAACCCCAAATGACAAAAAGGGACAGTTGGTGTTACTCTAGCTGGTATGCTTGAGTTATATCCTGATTGTTGCTTTTTCTTCTTAATAAATCATCTCAACTGTGATATTTTTTTTTTCTGTTATCTGCAGCAATGAGTATCCTCTTTTCATTCCCAGACAAAATTGTTGCACTACTGGTGGAGAAAACTCATGGTCTGAGAGATCAAGCCATTTTGAAGTGGCATCAGTAGAATCTGAGAGGAAACCCAAATTGGATCCTTCTGAAAGTATTAGTTTCAATTATTCTTGTGCATCACCTCATTCGTTGGAGACCCACAATGATTTGCAGAAAGGGATTGCTCTTCTTAAGAAAAGTGTGGCTTGTGTGACAGCATACTGTTATAATTCTCTGTGCCTGGATGTTCCCACTGATGCTTCTACTTTTGAAGCATTTGCAAACTTGCTTGCAACTCTTTCGTCTTCCAAGGAAGTCCGTTCTGTTTTCTCCCTGAAAATGGCGTGTTCAAGGTTATCTAGCAATACTATCCTAACCCAAAAAATTATTGCATAAGTCTTTTTTTAATGTTTGCTGTAATAGACTATAATATGCATCATTTCTAGAATCAGCCTATGTTGATGCATTTTCAGCATGTGAAGGGAGCAGAGATTATTAGCCTATCTACCTCAACCATTAATACAGCATTACAGATATACAATATGATTGTGATACTGTAGTGAACTTGTTGGAAATTATAGTATTATTTTTTTTGGTATTCCTAGTCCTGCCATGTCACTTTTTTTTGGACTTTTCTGCATACATAGGGTTGCACGATATTCACTGCTCATTATTAGTTTAGATGTGTGTGATTTGTGAAATGTGTAGTTTAGTGAAAAAGATAATTTAAGATACTAGACATCCCCCTCCCTCCTCCCCCTGTATCTCTGTCTGGAGAATTGTGATGATTTTTTTTAGCTCTACTCTCCCCCCACCCAACAAAATGAAAAAGAAAAAAACTTTTGAATTATGTAAGACATTTCTGATTTAGATTGAAGAGCGTCGGGCTCACACAAGTGGGAGAACACAGTTGCCATACATGAAGGCTTATTAAGTAATCAAATCTTTCCTGGGTTTGTTTTACCAAGTTTCAATTTCTAGTTCTTATTAGTTTCTTTGCTTCTTCCTTATTGCCTTTTCATTTATATCATAACCAAGTTTAACAAACCTGACTATTTCTTACCATCCTCTCCCACTCTCTCTTTTTTTAGATCATGTAAGCAAGTTCAGCAGTTGAACAAATCTGTGTGGAATGTGAATTCAATGATGTCAAGCACAATGCTGGAAAGTGCTCATGCACAACCTGCAATGGTATGTCTTCCAGCTACAACTCTGCTGTATTTCTTTTTGGACTACTAAGCATGGCAAAGCCTCCTACCCTCCCCAACCACCCCCTCCCCCAAAAAAGTATGTGTGCGATTTTATGTATCTTGGTCTTGATTTTGTATTATGTCGCCGTCTTCCCATTTGAACATTTTGATTTCAATTGATATATGTTGATTGTTGATGCTTCATCAGTCGTGCAGTGTGGCACTCGAATTTCTGAAATCAAGTTTAAGTGTTACGTGCAAAGAATGCATCATAGATGCTGTATATGGAAACGTTGCCTTAAAACTTCATGTTGCACGGAGGATATATGAGCCTGGCACCCTCAATCCCCCCCCCCCCTCTCTTTCCAGAAATCCAGAATCATTAGTCTGTATGCATCTTTAAAATCAGCAGTGTTTTGCATTACCGCATATGCTTGATTTGTCATTTATTTTATTTACGTCAAATATGAGCTAGTTTTTATGTTGGTCTTATTTTCTCTCCTGAATGATTGTTGTTTTTCTGTTTAATTGCATGGTAGTATTTCTATGTTTATAGACTCTGTATTGTTATACTCATTTTAATTTTCTCATGCAGAGAAATATGTGGGATAAAAACCTTCCAAATTTTGCTCCCAATTTTCTATATGCCAATGAAAGTGCTGATGCTAGTAAGAATGAGAGCGTCTTTGATGGATGGGACCTAGTGGAGTATCCAAAATTTCCTCCACCGCCATCTGAAACTGAAGATATTGAGCACTGGACTCGAGCCATGTTCACTGATGCCACAAAAAAGTAATTGAAACCAAATCATGTAAGTATTCCTTAACAACAAAGAACTCAGATTAATTCTTTTTTGCATGCTGTTATGAGAAGATTTAGTTCTACCCTGCTTTTTGTTTGATTAAAAAAATCTTTGATGTTGCTCCCTCTTCTCCTGGCAATTGTTAAAAGACAGTTTTTTTACAGCCATTTCGCTTCATTTGTAATTTTGTACAGAGCCTCATTTGGGTTTAGAAAACCTTTTGGTAAAAGATTAATACGGAGTAATAAAAAGAATTTTTGGCAGTAGCCCATTAGTCCACTGACATTCCATTTTAGTCTCTTTTTCTTGAACTTGACTTTTGTGACTTTCCTGGTCATGTATTCCCCGACTCCAGGGCTTGATCTGCCTTTCAATGCCTATCATTCTAAATACTCTGTACTCTTCAAATTCCCCGACTCCAGGGCTTGATCTGCCTTTCAATGTTATCTTTGTGATCTTCATTTATCTGGAGTCTGGACATTTTCATACTACGCAACTGCCAAGTGGTTTCCCATAAACAAATTTATTGGATCTAGATGAGTGAATAGCTGCTGGGGTAGCTCAACTTACCTTTTTTAATCTCTTGCCTATGTTTTTTTCCACTGTTAGATCTTGTATGCAGTATGCATGGAAAATATTTTAAACAACTTGTACTTTAGCCTTCAACTTGTTATTCATGCCAAATACTAATTTGCAACTTTTTCGTCATGAAAGCCTTATGTGAAAACACCCCTTTTTTTCTGGCGCTTTAGGCCATGAGTCAACCCAGTCAGGTGAAATTATAATAATTATTCTGCACATTGTTATTTTTTGTGCTAAAACTCTGTTGATTTAGGGCTCATTTGATCATCATAATGCTTGATAAACAGGGTAGCAAAATTATGCTATACCTAAGTAAGATTGAGGTTTCGGTTGTTTTAAGTGCCACCGTGCATATCTATATTCCTGTTTGTCAACCTATATTCCAAGCAGCAGATATCTCTTTTGCTGCAATTTGTTTTCCCAGAATGAATTCTGAACCAAATACTATCCTTTGTTTCTATTGCAGGTAAATAATGTCATCAATGTTAGGCTTGAGTTGTGGCAATTGAAGAAATTTGAGCTCGACCTGTTTAGCTGTAAATACGTAATCTCCAGCTTATCTGACCCATGTAAATGCGGAAGTGTTTTAGGTGATATAGTAATTATAGGGATGAGGTAGACCATGATATTATACTAACAGTGTAATCAGTTTATCACATTTATTGAGTTTATGACTGATTAATGTGGGAAAAAGAAAATAATGTAAGGTTTTTGGTTGTATATACAGAAGTGCGAGTTACACAAATACTCTGATAATCAAAATCTATTTTCGTACACATTTATGTAATTGTATGCAAATTTCTGTAGCTAAAATTCTTTAAAATCACTGTTTTTTTTTCAAAATTTTCTTAGATTGATTCCTCAAGAGGCAATCATTAGTCAGCTTTTGGCCATCATAGTCAAAAATTATCGACACTCTCTTAAGCCCCCTGCTGGTATCAATTATGTTCAAATCCTTCTAAGAAATTCAGGGTAGATCACCCACAACAAAATCCAAGGCAAATTTGCTTGCTCATGTCTTAGATTAGCTCGCTTTAATTAACCATGGGTAGATTGAGACTCTCTGATATATGTTGGAAATTTGGAATCATATATTGGCTTGCACAAAACAGATCCATAGTGTCAGAAAAAATTATCTAATACTACTATGCAGCTGAACTAAAAACGCTTACATTATTTTTGGAATGTAGAATCAAACATGAAATTTGCAAAATACATGTATATTTACACGAGATATACAGAATGATTTTCCTTTCTTTAAATCTATAACCAAACTTGGTACTGAAATTGCTTTCAGAACAGAAGTTACTGACTATTGCAGATAAACGAATAGATATCCAAAATGTTGATAGTGGGAACCAGAATCTCCTTGCTAATCATGGCGACTCATCTCCACCCTCTTTGGCAAAGCTAGTTGGTGATGACGCATTTCTAGCAATCTGATGAAATTTGCAGATCTCAAACAAGCTCTTATGCATATATCAGCAATCAATTGTCATGTCCTGGGAGCTTAGACCGAAGTGACATCTCAATCTCCTCAAGTGACCGGCCTTTTGTTTCTATTATGAAGGTATAACAAAACATTGCAGATAACAAGGAAACTCCACCAAAACTTGTGTAGATTGGAGCAACACCAAAGATCCTTTGTAATTCAAGAAAAAATAGACCCACCAAGAAGTTGCAGACCTGATAAACAGCAAATGCGCAGATACAATAATGAAATTGTCAAAAAAAAAATCTATAAAGGTGACGCACACTTTCCAAATACAAACAAAAAAGAGGGTTTTTTTTTTTTAATATCCAACTAGGGAACTATGAATTTCATTTGACATTTTCATCTGGAAATGGAAAGAAACCTGATGGTAAAGAATGGAAAGAATGTTCAGGCATACAGGATACAGGAAATAAAGATATAGAACAACTTCCACCAATCATTTTCTTGTTCACACTGCCGAGGACCACAAAAACTGTTTGAATCCAGAATACGTAGCACGCTTAGCACAGCAAATAAGTACCTAAACCAGTTTTCCAATAAACCAAAATGAAATGGCCAAAACATGTACTCTTCCTATTCAGTACAAAAGGAAGCAGAAGCTATTGCTTTTTGATGTCCGTACAAACAAATAACAGGTGCTGGATTAGAGGAAATGTGTCCCACAAGACTCATCAAATCATCTCATCAGCTGTAAAGATGATATGTACACCAATAAAAAAAAAAATAAATAAATAAATAAAAACTCCTGAGAGAACTTGGGGAAAATATGACAATTATTTTAATGAGCATGAGGAATTTAACTTGAGACCTGTAGTTGATACTAAGTATCAAAACATAGCATTAAAAGAGAAGGCATATCAAGTTATATTCATACTTCAAACTCCACCCTAATAAATATACTTGAGATCACAAAAATAATGATACTCTTGGAATTACCACTTTTTTCCACTTCCTATCATGTCAAAAAAACATAAAAATAAATAAATTCACAGTGCTTTTTAAAAACCGTTTCCATGTTAAAAATAAATTCAGACATACCCAGTGGACAGAGAAACTGAAACTCATAATTTTTCCTCGCATCCTACTGCCGCTGAGCTCTGGAATAATAATGCCAGTCACTGGGCCAGCTCCAATCGCAAAGGAGTACATGTACCTAAAATAGAGAAGAGCACATTTAGTATATTTTCTTATGGAAGGTATGTAAAATGAAATTTTAGGAGGTGGGGGACATTGGATTACCAACAATATAGGATAAAACTAACGAATCAAGCTAAAATTGCTTAATGGGGAAACTGACAAACACCTAGAAGCTCCATATAAAATAAGTAACATACAACAAGCTTCATTAATTGCAGCTCCCGAGGTTAATTAATCAGCACCAAAGCTCAGCAGCTATCCAAGAGTCTCATTCAGAAAATAATTGGGGCCTCTCAATCACTAGCTGATAGTCTGATACACCTTTCTCTCTACTAAAGGAATTAAAAAACTGAAGAAAAAGTATATGACATTCAAATGAATGGTTGATCTAGTGCTCGTGATAAGTATAGCACTTATAAGATAGAAGTTTATGAGACTCAAATTCCATGCAGAATTGAAAGGTATTCAACATCTCAGAGTCCCTAGCCAAATACTCGAATTATATGCCCACTAAGCCTACAAGCTTGCAAACAAAAAGCAACCGCTCTTTTGCTTCCTCTAGAAAACTAAGTCTAGTTTAGTGTTGAAGACACATAACATAAAGAGCAGAAAAGGAGTCACAATATCAGTTAAACACTAAGGTGCTTTGATACAAAAAATGCTCAAATGCATCCCATAAACCCTAGAACTTGTTTGGTGTCAGGTTAGATATTAAAGAATGGTAATGAATACACAGGTATTTTATAAATGGGAAACCATCCGTGAATGACTACATGTCTAGTGCATCTCTACCAAGTACCACCAAGCAAGATTTTTTTGTTTTTTTATTCATAACCACATCAATGAGTCAGTCTAACCCAGATACCCAATTCATGCTGGGCCATGTACTATCTTACGGTAGAACCAGCCTAGCCCAGCGTTCAAAGCAGCAATTTCAGATAACAGTACAATTTTCGGGGCACACAGTTGCCCCATCCCAATTCACTAAACTATTTTCAAGATAATTTACAACAAAATTGGGATAAACTTAGTCTTTCCATAAACCAATGACTGAATAGACTTAAGTATTCGCATGAATAAAAAATTGCCGAGATGTTTACCATGGTCCCTAATACCCTCCGGGATCCAATTAGGTGGGTGGAACCATCCAATTTGCCTTAAAACAGTCAATTTACCAATTCGCAACTTACACTGATTTTGTGAACTCAAGACTACCGCGGATATTTATGACATCAATTAATGGTCATATATGGTTCCAAACGGCATTATATGACCTAATGATATATCCCCTAGGGTCTCAAAACTTTTCGCCACCAGGTCCCGTAACGTCAAAATTTCCAAAAAAAAACGTGGATAATAGCCTTCAGTTTTGGAATTTTTTTACTTTTTTCGCCCGGAATAAAAAATTGCCGAGCTGTTTACCATGGTCCCTAATACCCTCCGAGAGTCCAATTAGGTGGGTCTAACCACCCAGTTGGCCTTAAACGATCAATTTACCAATTCGCAACTTGCACCGATTTTGTGAACTCAAACCTACCATGGACATTTAAGACATTATATAATGGTCATATATGGTTTCAAACGGCATTATATGACCCTAAGATGGATACCCTAAGGTCTCAACACTTTTCACCAACGGGCCCTGTAACTTCAAAAATTCCTCAAAAAACGTGGATAATAACCTTCAATTTTGGAATTTTTTGAACTTTTTTTGCCCGGAAAAAAAAATTTCCGAGATGTTTACCATGGTCCCTAATACCCTCTGGGACTCCAATTGGGTGGGTGGAACCATTCAATTTGCCTTAAAACGGTCAGTTTACCAATTCGCAACTTGCACCAATTTTGTAAACTCAATCCTATCACGGATATTTATGACATCATTTAATGGTCATATATATTTCCAAACGGCATTACATGAGCCAATGATGTACCCCATAGGATCTTAAAACTTTTCGCCACGGGGACTGTAACGTCAAAAATTCCACAAAAAAATGTGGATAATTGCCTTCAATTTTTGAATTTTTTGACTTTTTTCTTCCGGAATTAAAAATAACTAAGATGTTTACCATGGTCCCTAATACCCTCAGGGAGTCCAATTAGGTGAGTGGAACCATCCAATTGCCTTAAAACGGTCAATTTACCAATTCGCAACTTACACTGATTTTGTGAACTCAAGACTACCGCGGATATTTATGACATCAATTAATGGTCATATATGGTTCCAAACGGCATTATATGACCTAATGATGTATCCCCTAGGGTCTCGAAACTTTTCGCCACCAGGTCCCGTAACGTCAAAATTTCCAAAAAAAACGTGGATAATAGCCTTCAATTTTGAAATTTTTTGACTTTTTTCGCCCGGAATAAAAAATTGCCGAGCTGTTTACCATGGTCCCTAATACCCTCCGGGAGTCCAATTAGGTAGGTGGAACCATCCAATTTGCCTTAAAACAGTCAATTTACCAATTCGCAACTTGCACCGATTTTGTGAACTCAAGCCTACCATGGACATTTATGACATTATTAAATGGTCATATATGGTTTCAAACGACATTATATGACCCTAAGATGTATTCCCTAAAGTCTCATCACTTTTCGCCACCGGGCCCCGTAAACTCAAAAATTCCTCAAAAAACGTGGATAATAGCCTTCAATTTTGGAATTTTTTGACCTTTTTTTGCCCTGAAATAAAAATTTCCGAGATGTTTACCATGATCCCTAATACCCTCCGGGAGTCCAATTAGGTGGGTGGAACCATCCAATTGCCTTAAAACGGTCAATTTACCAATTCGCAACTTGCACCGATTTTGTGAACTCAAGCCTACCACGGACATTTATGACATCATTAAATGGTCAAATATAGTTCAAAACGGCATTACATGAGCCAATGATGTATCCCATAGGGTCTTAAAAGATTTCGCCACAGGGCCCGTAACGTCAAAAATTCCACAAAAAATGTGGATAATAGCCTTCAATTTTGAATTTTTTTGACTTTTTTCGCCCGGAATCAAAAATAACTGAGATGTTTACCATGGTCCCTAATACCCTCCGGGAGTCCAATTAGGTGGGTGGAACCATCCAATTTGCCTTAAAACAGTCAATTTACCAATTCGCAACTTGCACCGATTTTGTGAACTTAAGCCTACTACGGATATTTATGACATCAATTAATGGTTATATATGGTTCCAAACTGCATTATATGACTCTAAGATGTATTCCCTGGAGTCTCAAGATTTTTCGCCACCGGGCCCCGTAACCTTAAAAATTCCTAAAAAAAGCGTGGATTATATAGCCTTCAATTTTGGAATTTTTTGACCTTTTTTTGCCTAGAAATAAAATTTTCCGAGATGTTAACCATGGTCCCTAATACCCTCCGGGAGTCCAATTAGGTGGGTGGAACCATCCAATTTGCCTTAAAACGGTCAATTTACCAATTCGCAACTTGCATCGATTTTGTGAACTCAAGCCTTCCTCGGACATTTATGACATCATTTAATGGTCATATATGGTTCCAAACAGCATTATATGACCCTAAAATGTATCCCCTAGGGTCTCAACATTTTTCGCCACCGGCCCTAATAACCTCAAATATTCCTCAAAAAACGTGGATAATAGCCTTCAATTTTGGAATTTTTTGACCTATTTTCGCCCAGAAATAAAAATTGCCGAGATGTTTACTATGGTCCCTAATATCCTCTAGTAGTCCAATTAAGTGGGTGGAACCATCCAATTTGCCTTAAAACGGTCAATTTACCAATTTGCAACTCTCACCGATTTTGTGAACACAAGCTTACCACGGACATTTAAGACATCATATAATGGTCATATATGGTTTCAAACGGCATTATATGACCCTAAGATGTATCCCCTAGGGTCTTAATACTTTTTGCCACCGGGCCCCTTAACCTCAAAATTTCCTCAAAAAGCGTGGATAAAATAGCCTTCAATTTTGGAATTTTTTTTGACCTTTTTTTGCCCGGAAATAAAAATTGCCGAGTTGTTTACCATGGTCTCTAATACCCTCCGGGATTCCAATTGAGTGGGTGGAACCATCCAATTTGCCTTAAAACGGTCAATTTATTAATTCGCAACTTGCACCGATTTTGTGAACTCAAGCCTACCACGGACATTTATGACATCATTTAATGGTTATATATGGTTCTAAACGGCATTATATGACCCTAAGATGTATCCCCTAGGTTCTCAACACTTTTTGAAACCGGGCCCCGTAACCCCAAAAATTCCTTAAAAATCGTGGATAATAGCTTTCAATTTTGGAAATTTTTTACATTTTTTCCCCTGAAAATGAAAATTACCGAGATGTTTATAATGGTCCCTAATACCCTCCGGGAATCCAATTGGGTGGGTGGAAAAATCCAATTTGCCTTAACACGATCAATTTACACGTTTTCGTACACTCCTGTATTGGCTATAAGCTTTCACGAGGCTTGTACGTAGTCGAATAATGGTCATATATGGGTCGAAACAATATTATTATGTCCCCGGGATGCATTCCGTAATGTTCCGTGAAATTCCCACACCAGGTCCCGACACATCCTAATTTGTTCCGATTTCGTGTTTTATAGCCTTCATATTTGGCTTCCGTATATCATTTTTTCACCCAGCGAGATTATGCATCTAAGTACTTCCTTGGTTCCCAAAGGCCCTTGAGAGTCATAAACAGTGTCCGGAACCATCTAATTCATCCTTAAACTTCATGTCTTAAGGGCCTTAGGAGTCGTAAATAGTGCTCGAAACCCGGTATGCCTTGTCCTTGGGTGCACATGTCTTATGCACATGCCACACGGCCCCTTGCCCACTTGTACCATCCAACATCCCAACACTTAGGCTTTATGACACCTCTTAATCCCGTACTTAGCCTTTTTTAGCATACGAGATGCATCGCTAACTTCGTTTTCTAAAATATATGTGTTTTTAGGGAATAGGGTGGGGGAAGGACGAATCGAAGTGACATAGGGCTGAATCTCAGTATCCACCGCGCGAGCTTAGCCTACGACATGTGCCGAAACCCCTACTGTAGGACGGCATCGGGCGATGGGCGCACGCGTCGCTTCTGGCCCGGATTTTGACTTAGAGGCGTTCAGTCATAATCCAGCACACGGTAGTTTCGCGCCACTGGCTTTTCAACCAGGCGACGCATGCGCCACACGGCCCCTTGCCCACGCCCAAGGAAGAAACCCAACGCCCTAGGAGAAACCCCACGCCCATCATGAAACCCCATGCCCTAGGAGAAACCCCACGCCGAAGCTCAAACCCTACGCCCAAGGAAGAACCCCACGCCCATCATGAAACCCCACGCCCTAGGAGAAACCCCACGCCTACTGTATCAACCCTACGCCCAAAACTTAAACCCCACGCCCAATGAAGAACCTCACGCCCTAGAAAGAAACCCCACGCCCAATGAAGAAACTCCACGCCCGAGGTCAAACCCCACGCCCAAGCTCAAACTCCACGCCCAAGCTCAAACTCCACACCCAAGATGAAACCCTACGCCCAAGATGAAACCCCACGCCCAAACTCCAACCCCACGCCTAATCTCATACCCCACGCCCTAGGAAGAAACCCCACGCCGTTACTCAAATCCCAAGCCTAAAGAAAGGACCCCACGCCCAAGGAAGAACCCCACGCCTAAGAGGGACCCCACGCCCAAGGAATAACCCCACGCCCATCTTGATACCCCACGCCTAATGTATCAACCCTATGCCCATTCTGAAACCCCACGCATAAGCTCAAAACCCACGCTTAAAGAGGGACCCCACGACCAAGGAAGAACCCCACTCCCAAGGAAGAAACCCCACGCCCATCTTGAAACCCCACGCACAAGGAAGAACCCCACGACCAAGGAGAAACCCTAAACAAACCAACCCCATGCCCTAGGACCAACCCCACGCCCAACTAATAAGCCCCACGCCTTAGGGAGGACCCCATGCCCGAGGGACACCACGCTTATATAGGGGCGGGGCCAACGCCCAAGGAAACCCCACGCTTATAGAGGGACCCCACGCCTAAGGAAACCCCACGAATGTAACCCGACCCAAACCCGATAAGTATGACCCGACGTGACCAGACTCCAACATGACCCAACCCAAACCCGACCCGCAAAGGTTATGGAATTAATCTGAATAGACCAAACCCGAGTTGACCCGACCCACTCTTACGGTCGTGAAGGTTCAAGCACAATTAAGAAGATTATAGGCTTGGAACAGATTGGCAGACGCCATCAATCCTCAACAAAAGAAAGTCGCAAATTTGAGTTAACAAAAAGCATACCCTAATGTACCCAGTATTGATAAGTTGTGACTGACATCTTCATCTGGGAAGCTGATGGCATATGCTGCAAGAAACATCGACACAGCCTGCAAAATTTAGTAAGGTTACATTATCTAGAAACTCATAAAGGTATGACAAGCTGATAAAATAATTTCATTATCCTTTCCACATTCCAATCCCCCCCCCCTTTCTTTTTCCCGAATGTAGTAAAAAGTTTTGTAGAGAGTAATTCTGTGTTTCCTTCATATTTCTCCACACAATCCTCCTTGATCCTGCAAAGTCTGACATAGCAGTGTAATTTACTCTCTCCCTGTGGGCACCCATTTCCATTAAAAAAAAACTCACCATTCCCAAATAACTTCCAATGAGAAGTCTTCTCCTTCCTTGCTTATCAATCAAGTACAATGCAGAAAGAGCCCCTAAAGTTCACATAAAGAGTGGCTCTCAGTGATCAAGTTATAAAAATTAATTGTTATAGGTAAACTGATTGATGATATCCTATAATTAAAAACTCTACTGTGCACAGAATACAAGGATAACCAAATCCTTTTCAGCCTAAAATTTGACCTTGCTAAGATGGTAACAAGGAATTAGACTGTTGAGAATAGATGGGCAAGTTGAGAATATAAACTACTTTATATTATATAACTAAAAATGCATCGAAGCAAAGAGGCACATATAGTGTTACTGCACCTGCAAAGTTGGTGAGCCCGACATACAGACTTGCTAAAGCAGCACTTGTAATCCCAACCTCTTGAAAGGTCAGAGATGAAAAATAAAGAACACCATTTATCCCTGCAAATTGTTGCAGTAGAAAAAGAGAACCTCCTACAAGTGCCACTGCAATAATTAAAAATAATGCATCAGACTTTTGCTAATAATAAACATCATCATATCCTCTTCCAAACCAAGAGAAAAGAAGTTGAGAGCATAGAGTGCGGGAACAATTATTAACTTCCCATTCATATATAATGCTAATAGCAAAATTCTACTTAGTATGTACATTAATAATTTTTTAAAAGGCTACTTTGAATTTTAATTGCATGATAAAGCAAGGACCCCCTACCCTGCCCAGAGCCCCAGAGTTAATCAATGAAGTAACAAACACAAAAATCTAAAGCTGGTGGGAGGTGTAGCCTATGGTTTCATCCCCACAACTCCCTCTCATGAAAATACTTGGGTCTAAAAATACCGGTGCTCCATTACCCACTGTTAAAGGGCTCTAGGAGCATAGGACTCAAACTCATAGATCATCACTTGGTCCTTATTGTGTTGAAGGATATGAAAGAGCCAGCACAGCAAAAGAAGCTTAAGTTAATGGTTACATCTCTCCTTATGATTACAAGTGTTAATAGGTCGAAGTTTTATTAGAGGCCTTGGTATAGTGAGATTGTACGATGTGGTAGCTACTTTGTAAGAGATTGAAAGTAGCTAAGCTACTTCACACATATATTAAAAATACAAGAGCATCTAACTTTAGCAGAAGCCCAAACATGCAAATTAATACTAATACAACCTTTATAGTTTGGCTCCTTGAAGAGTTCCAACCAGTTCGAGTCGGTATCTCCGTCAGTTCCATTAAATACTAACTGAAACTCTTCTATAGCAGTATCAACTTCTGAAGGGCCCAAAAGGTTACAAAGAATAGATTTAGCATCGTCAAGTCTCCCTGTCTGCATACACATTGCAGTCACAGGATCAAAATGGATAAGACAACCAAGAAAAAAAAAAATTCTATATGTAGAAGACATACTTTACATAGCCATCGAGGGCTGTCCACTGCAAACTGCATACCAATCATAAGAAGAAATCCAGGGGTGCTCGCAATGTATAGCAATGTCCTCCACCTAGAAACAAATTGTAGGGTTAATGAAATAAAGATTCAGAAATCAGAGGGCTGGCACGTAAATCAAGTATGTGAAACCATTTTCAAAATAGCATAAGATAGAATATCTTTCACCTCATGCCAGGTTGATTAATAGTACATATCATCAAGAAAAAGCTACATGCAAATAAGTTGCAACAGCTCATCCTACCTCATTGCCAGTGCAGCATATCTATCAATCTACTTAAGCACTTTCTAAGGGAGGGTGTGTGTGTGTTGGGGGGGAGGGGGGGGGAGGCTAAAAATATTGAAAATTACTGCTAACACCTATTATGTCTACTGCTATCTTAGTAAATACTTCGTATATTATTGTTCCAAGTCTTTCAACCAATATTCCTGCTATTAGGCAGTATTTGTGGGGAGGGTGGGTGTCAAGAGACACTCTTGATCAAAAAAAATAAAATTAAAACCTCCCCATTGTGTAAAATGAATATGAATCTTTGACAGTCTTATGATGCTGCCGGTAAAGGATATGGGGTAATAGTGACGTCTAAGGCTCTAACTCTTTCAAGGGCGAGATTCATATTTGGGAATTGCTGGTCTATGAAAAATAACATCATAATGAGATATATGATACAATGTCCAGATATCTTACCTGAGCTAGAAATCATGCAGTAACATCAACATAGAAGTTACCCAGAGCACCTAGGAATCCAGCACAACTCCACCTTTACATGAGACTTAAAGAAGAACATTTGTTCTGTTCCCTTCGACAAAAAAAGTTAACTACCCTTGACACAAGCAGCTGTCTCACGCACTCCATCAAAAAACAACTTCAAACTATATACAGATTTAACTCCAAATAACTAGTACAGTAACACCTCCATTGGCCCATGTCACCTACAGCCTATTCAACGAATTTGGCTCTTCATTAAAATATGACCCTTCCAAATTCCAATCAAACTAATAAAACTTTTTCTGCTTTAAAGCTCATTTGATTAGGATGCTTATCGCTCAAAACTTTTCAACGTCTTCAAGTGTCCTCCAATTTAAACTTTTACATCCCTAAAACCTCGAATTAACTCCAGCTTTGCTTGCAATATTTCATTTTATTTTTTCTTTCACAAAGCTAAACCTTGCCGTCCATCCACCCAGTTTGAACACCACCATACCGCAGTTGATCACAAAAATTATGGTTCATCAATTCACATAATGGAAAGAATTGTAATTTAGGATAATATAGTGTCTTAAGCAAAAATTATAAGCTCCAGTCAGTCACAAACCCTACACATTAATTCTCAAGTATAAACCACTGAAACCCAAAAACAAAATAAATATGCATATCAGCATATATGTAGATGTATACAAACACACATGCTTATACATGTAACATGTATGTGAATGTGTGTGTGTGCGTGTGTGTGTGTGTGTGTGAAGTATTAGTGAAACAATGATATATTTGATGTGGTATTCCAACTATAGTGGAATAAGAAGACAGGTATCTTAATCAAGTCACAATGCTTTTCAGTTGAAAGGGTTCCTACCTCCTATGTGTAATGTGCAGCGTGCTATAACATAAAACAAACAATTAAAAACAGAGCAAATATTACATTCGTGTAATGTTACAGGATGACAATGGTACAAAAAAAGCTATACCCCCATGATGGGGTTGATCACATCAACCAAGATTCTCTCCCTCCATGCCCCTCTATCAAGTGCAAGGAGAGCATTTTTATAACTAACATAATAATATCATATTATCCTGCATGATGCCTCATAGCAAAAGCAAGATCCTAACCTGGAGGGATTCTAAACATAAATTGTTCGTAGTGGAGTACTATAACAATAAAATAAGAAATTCCCATCAAAAAATTATGAAATTACTGCAACAATAAGTAAGGGTGAGTATTATCTCAGTTATCTGTCTAACAAAACACATTTCTTCAGTAGATAATGGATACCATTTTTTATTAGAACTTACCAATGTGGATCATTTTCTGCTGGAATCGCAATTAACAAAGAGGCTATGATCCCAATACAAGTACCTATCTGGCACAATGATCCCAAAGATCCCCTGTATTTTGTCGGTGCAACCTACACAATAACAATAGTAAATTGATAAATACCAGTAAAGATAATTGTGGAGAAACCACTCTGTTTTCACAATTAAGTATGGATTCTATGCTATGTTCTGTACAATTTATTTTATCACTGTAGCATTTGAGTGCTTAATTTCAAAGAATACTTCTGAACAATACTGACAATAAAAATTATACTGAATAACAGTAATAAAAGTCAAAGTACATATGTGGTTAATGATAATCAAAATCATATAAGGAAAAACCAGCTAGAGTTTATAACAGATAGGTCAGGCTAAGTGGCCAACTGAACATAATACATAATCCTAATCTTAGCCTATCCAAAGAGGGGAGAAAGACAGCCCTAATCCCAGTCATGTAGTCCGGCCTATGAACTTGTTGAAGATTTTTTTTTTTTTTGAAAAAATGGAAAAGAAAAATCCAACCTTTGCACTTTTTCCTTACGAAAGTCCAACCTTCATTTTATTCCTCAAAAATCCAACCTTTATACCCCTCCTTCTCCAACAGGTCACCGGTTTTTCTAAGTTATATGCCACGTGTCAGCTATTAATAGGTTAAATTTTTTTTTAATTATTAAAAAAAACAAAAATAATTAAAAGAAAAATTAAAAAAAAAAAAAAAATCAGAATCCCTTTACCACCACCACCACCCTGCCACCACTCCCTCTCCCCCTCCCTCCCCTGCGCGCCCACCGCCCTCTAGAACCAAAGCACAGCCCACCAAAACCCAACACGCACCACCACCACCTTCCCGTGCCACCAACACACACACCCAGCCACCAACAAAAACGCACAGCCACCAACTCCACCGCCCAGCCACCACCTCCAAACCCAAACCCCGCAAACCGCCTAGCCGCCAAAAAAAAATCAGAAAACCCCCCTTTTCCGTCACGTCAGCCACCCAAATCACCCACCTTCGATTCCCTTAACCTCGAAACCCTCCCTGCCTGAAACCTAGCCCCTAAAAACCTCCCCGATCTGCCTGAAACACAGCCCGAAAAAACCTACCCCAAATTCCACGAGCCGAGGGTGAGGGTTGATCCATAGAGGAAGAAGTGAGAGAGAGATAGAGAAGGAGGATGAGAGTGAGAGTGAGGAAGGGGAGGAGAGGTGAAACGGCGGTGATGAGTGGTGGTGGCGGATGTGGGGTTGGTGGTTTCAGTGTTTGAGGTGAGAGGAGAGAGAAAAAAGAGGAGTGAGATGGAAAAATGAGAGAATAAAAAAAATTAAAAAAAAATTTAACCTGTTATCAGGTCACAGATAAAATGCACCTGTTGGAGAAGGAGGGATATAAAGGTTGGATTTTTGAGGAATAAAATAAAGGTTGGATTTTTGTAAGGAAAAAGTGCAAAGGTTGGATTTTTCTTTTCCAATTTTCCTTTTTTTTTTTTGACATAATGATTTTCCTATTATAGGAGGAGGAATTTGTTGAAGATTAGAAAAGTTAAAAATACTTTCGAATTAGTAATATACATTTATATGTTCTGCTTTACACACAGCACCCAAAATACTTTCATACACAACACCAATTAACCTTGTAGAGCCTAAACAAAGATTTCACAAATTCAAAGTGATGAACTCATTAAACAGTAGTGCTGAGCTCTACTGCACAATCACCAAGCCAGGTACACTCCAATACTCAAATCACACATAGCAAGTAGCGGCTCTGGTGAATTATTGTCATATAAAATTGTACATCACTACCAAATGATCTTTCATCTATTGGCCCCTGAATGTTAAAATATAATTGCACCCACCAGTCCTCATCCACCAGAAACAAGAAAATGGAAAAAGAGTATACAAGAGGGAATGGCTAGGATCTCTTTCCCCCAGGGTGATATATATACTTGCACCCAAATGTTCTCAGACCTCAGTCCTCAATTCTCTACACAATTAAAAAGAGTAGGCATAGGGGTATAAAGCGAGGGAACAACTAGATCCACCATGAATCAAATTATACTAAGATTGCCTAGTTCAAGAATAGATTATGTTCCAAACAATAGCCTAACATGAAAAATGGAGTAAGATACGAGTATCACAGTCTTGCATCTCTATTTTCTTTTCGTTGTGCTGAAGTGAAATTTGGCCTCCAAAACTAAGAATGCCTGGTTCAAGAATTGTTTATGTTTAAGCAAAAGACTTACATGACAAATCAACCAATCAGCACCCAATTTTTACACTCTCAAGCCTCCTATCTGATCCTTCCACACAGGGAAAGACGAGATTGCTAACAATGTCTGATCTAAAGCCAAATTGAAAGGAAAAAAAAGACAGTTGTACAAGTAAAAAGAACTGAGAAAAGTGGGAGAGATAAGTATAGAGGAAAGATTAAAGAAAGGGGCAAAGGGCGATAGAAATCACTAACCTAGCAGGTTGATCTGAATCCTCAACCCCAAATTTCCCATCGTCAAGGCAGCATCCAAGATGTACGAAAAATAGGCTGCTGCCTCACTACACGTCTACACCTAAAGCCTTGGCCCACCTAATACCATTTTTCTTAAACCCTCATGAAGACAAGAAGAGGTACAACGGCCAAGTGGAGCACAGTAGCACAATGAAGCGGGATTTTTGGAAACTCTGTATATTTGAGATAGTACAATGGAGTCCTATGCAGAGAAAAGAAAGGGTGATAAGTGAACAAGAATGGAAGGATCCAATTGATTAGCCTAAGTATGGAGTTACTTTAGCTCTTATACCTCACCAACATCAATTAGGGCCCAGCAATATCAATAAATCATATAAATAGAGTATTAGTTTACAGAGAGAATGTATTAAATCTAGGCCGCATCACTGCATAACAACTGCATTGTACAGAATTTTGAGCTTATCGCGGCCTAAAAATTAGGCCGGCAACAACTTTATTCCATCCAGATTGCCCGCGAAAGTGGTAATGTGATCGCACCCGAGAAGTAAAAAAATGATAGGTACTATCTGTTTTTTAACAATACACTTCATTAGTTCATTCTCACTAACCAATAACTTGCTTAAAAATATATAAGGCTAGTCAACTATACAGCACACTGTAAAGAAGAGGAAATAAAAACAATTGGAACATTATAAAAACGGGAATAATTCAACCAGAAAAAGAAAAAGGCCTTTATGATGAATATTCCATAATAAAAAATGGATTGTAACTAATTCTGCAGTACCTCTGATATGTAAATTGGTACTAGAACTGTGTTCACCCCAATACCAAGCCCCACAAGAAATCTTCCCAAAAGTACTTCATTAACAGAGTGTGCTTGTGCACTGTCAGGATATGAAGCAGACACCTCAATAAGTAAACAAGAAATCAAAATTGCTTTAGAAATCATTATAAGCTATGCAGCTTATATACGAATCTAACAATTGAAACAAATAAATTCATACACAAATGAGATATCTTCTAAGCTTGTCAAATATTCGAAGTTTGAAATTTTAAATTAAAAGATTCATCAAATTAAGGGAGAATGCAACAAGAAGATATTAAACTATATATGAGAAACACCAAAGGAGGGTTCAACCATGGAAAAAAGAAAGTTATAGCCAACAATATCATGCCTACAAGGCTATTGTTTAGTATTCTACTAACAAAAATTCTTCTGTTGAGATTATATTCAACAACTTGCAAAATAAACTTTTCTTCACAGCATCTTCCATTGAATCTTCTCTTTACTAATGCCCATGCAGGTTAAAAATGCTCTAGGAGGAACCTTTGTCCACCAATTATCATTGGAGAAAATCAAAACTGATTCTATTTCTCTTCAAGAATTCAATTTTACAAATATTAATAGTGAAATGGACCCTCCCTTGTCAACCAGCCAAATTAACTCGCCATAACTTCTTAATATAAATGAGTACACAACTTTTTTTTTAACCATTAGGAAGTCTTGAAAAAGAAACACACTTATGATTCTGGAATCTGGATACCAGTCCATGCTATAGCCTAATCAATAATAGCCTCTATAAGTCAATAAGTGAGACAATTCCAGAATTATCTGAAATGTAAACCTTTAAATGTTGTTTTGGATACCATAAGTCCAAAGCTCATGCCAAACAAAACCTTGATCCAATCCTTACTTCGGATTTTTAGAAGGAACAAAAAGTTTAATAATGAGCAACCCACCTAAGATGGGTTTCCAAATGCCTACTTTATGAGAGAAATAACTAATGAGCAATAACCCTTCTCACTCCAAACACCCCCTAACCTTCTCTTACAGCGCCTCTTCCTTGTTTGCAAGCCTCCAGAGCGACTTTGCCTTGGCTTGACTTCTTTATTTATGATAGACTTCCAAGACCACACAATCTTGCTAGAGTGATATACATATTCCCAATAACACAAATAAAGCACTTATCACTATCAGGTTCGGAGGTTCCTAGTTGTCTCATAGGAAGTCACATGTAATCTTCAAATCCCAACTCACTGAGATTAATAGTCTTCTTGACAACTAAACTTGAAGCGCAGCATATTCTTCCTCCGTTTTTATTTTATTGCACCATAAGGACTTTTACACTATTCACTTAATCTTCTTTGACCATCATTTGTGATTTATCCATTTGGAAAAATATAGTCATGTGTGATTTAGCTAGTTAGATTCGTCTCGAAATCTTCTTTTCAAATATCAATTTTTTATAATTTTTACAAAAGTATAATTGAAGATATTAATAGCTAAAAAGATGCATTGGCAAGCATGAAATCCCTCATGGTGCAATAAAAAAAAAAAAAAAAGAACGGAGGAAGTATGTAAGTTCAAAATAACAAGTTCACAAAACCTCAAAACATTTTCCTCCAGAAACTATACCTGGCAAACAAGAAATTGTGGGTTATTGCTCACAAAAATCGAAAATGAAGAACACATAGAATGATTTAAAAACAAGTACAGCTTCCAAACTTCCAAGGAGAAGAATGAATAATTAATGGTCGCAGTACAATGAAGAAAGTTAATCATAAAGAATTCAGTTGTCCTCTCAAGATAAGGAAGAAGGTACAACAAAAATATGATGTTAATCAATATAATCATTTAATAATAATTCAACGCAAAGAATGCAACAGTGATAAGAAGACATGGCAACTATATTGCAACCAAGAATCCAAGATCATGACAACAGCGTCTTGAAGTCCCACCAAATGAAATAAAGAAAAAGGTAAGAGACATTAGTAGCATAAGACTCTAAAAGGCAGACTGAATCATGAATCAAGCATAAAATGGAGCAAAAAATATTAGAGAAAAGAGATTTGACTTTTGCCAAAAGACGCAAGTAAGAAAAACCCAAATTAAGAATACCATAGAAAAGAAAATAGAAATGATCCAAGTCATCCACTTCATCCCTAAACTAAACCTTATGTCAAATTTGCGATTGCCCCTTCTTCAAACCCATAGATAACAAACCAACCACAAGACCATAAACCTTTTTACCAAATCCCAAGTCCCAACACTCATCATTATAATCACAATCAAATCATCTCAATGACCAATGAAGGGAGCAGCCCTCATATATTCAGAAGTAAACCTTACAGGATCAAAAGAAACACAAAGAGGAAGAACTACTGGTTTAGTCTGCAATTGTAATTGTAAAAATGACTAACGAAAGAAACAAAGAAAGTTATAAATTTACCAGCTAAAAAAAAAAAAAAACAAAACAAAACATGTTCACATAAGCCATGCGTTGGTGATGTAAGGAACATAGTAGAACGATAGTCATATTGCAATAACAATCATACTTCTACCGCCATAACAAAGACGTGATGCTTTTATATAAAAACAAAACAAGTTTGTTCAGCAATTACCTCAAAATAGCACCAATTATTAATGGGATAGAGTCGATTTGAAGTATGCGCCTACAGCCAAATTTGTCAGCCAAGGTGCCTGAAATTAGACTCCCAATGAAGGCACCAACAATAAATATGCTCACTACAAGGCCCTCTAGTATAGAGTTCCCCTCAAAACCAAGTTCTCGTGCCACTGACGCTATAGGGCCATTCATGACTCTGCAAAAAACAAAAGCATACACTGCTTAAGGCTCACATCATAAACTCATAACAAACAAAATCATGGCAGACAAAAGATAAGCAGATTCACGAAAAAAGCATTAGATGTTGGAAAATCAACTAGCAACGGAACAATTTACTGCCATTCAAGAGAAAGGTATCTGATGAAAGAAACAAGTTAACATTCTTGATTCTTCTTCCTGGCCTGTTACTTCAAACCCTTAAATTACGATCAAGGAGACCATTGCTTTAATAAATACATCTGTTACTTGCCTTCTTTACTTTAATAGTAAGCATGTCTTAGGGATTTCATAGAACTAAAACAAAATTAGCCACTTGACAAGTTGACATTAAAAACAAAATACTTCCTCATCAAGAACTTACCCAATATGATACCCAAATAGAAAATTAGCCATGGATGCTGTCAAAGCATGGGGCAATGCAGGCAACCATCCCAAATCAATCTGTTTTGCAGGATCATCATTCCCTTTCAATATCTCCTCCGCTTTACCATCTACATACATCTCAAATCAAATTTTACAATATCCATCAAACACAAGCAAATGAAAAAATTCAACTGCTTTCATTTCTGGCACCAATTATGAGTTTAAGGTTTATATTTATCAGCCTTCATTTAGAATTAACAGTGCTCATCAACCAAATTAAAAACTAATCATTTTTCACAAATGGGTCTGAAGATTATTCAACCTTTTACTCATTCATCAAACAAAATTCATTGAAAAACATAGAATTAAATCTTACTATCTCACTTCAGTATGCCACATCTCTATTTTAGGATGTGATCATTAGTATCATAATAATAATATATTTGTCCTCAACAATTTCATGATACACAACAAAAACTATGTAGTAGTATATCAATCAAATGTGGTCTATTAAAGTGGGACGGACAAAGCGAATAATAACAAAAAAAAAAAAAAACCATTAAAAGAATTACAAATGGATCAACCCAAACCTGGTAATTGGGTTGAACTAGAAGTACCCTCCTCCTGAAACTGGCGCTTTTCAGAGGCACAAACAGAAAACTGTTTCTGGGGTTTAAAGTGACGAAAACGCATAGAATTATGGAGAGAGAAATACATGATTTTGGTGGAAATTGAGGTGGGTTTCGATGGTAAACCGCTGAAGGGAGGATGAAACGCTGTTATTGTCTCCATTCTAGCAACTCCTACTACTGTAGTACTGTTAAGGGAGGGAGATTTTTTTTTATTTATTTTTTTTCAATTGTTTGATTGATTGTGTTACTATGTACTTGCTCAGCTCTATCATTAGAGAATTCAATTAAAAAGTGTTCATAGGGAAGTGTGATATACGCGAATTGGGAAGCGGGAATAAGAAACGTCTAGGCCTTGTTTGGTAAAGAGATAACATATGAGATTTTAGTTTTTTTAGGTGTCATTAGAAGATTTGATCCCAAATTATAGACTATAGAGTAAACAATTTTTGGTATTTGAACAATTGATGATTTTAAAAGTTAGAAATATTTGTCAATTACTACCGCAAGTTAATACCACTTTGTAAATTACTACCGCAAATTAAAAAAGTTATGAATTACTACCGCAAAATTTTTTAAGATGTTGCGATTACTACCAAATTCCCGTTAAACCCAACTATGACGTCATTATAGCTCTTTAACCCATGGTTAAAACCCTTAACCATGGTAAAACATGGGTTAAATCCCTTAACCATGACATCATTATATCCCTAACCCTTTTTTTTTGCTGGTTAAAGCCCTTAACCATGGTCAACATGGGTTAAAGTGATATAATGACGTCATAGTTGGGTTTAATGGGGGTTTGGTAGTAATCGCAACATCTTAAAAATTTTTGCGGTAGTAATTCACAACTTTTTTAATTTGCAGTAGTAATTTACAAAGTGGTATTAACTTGCGTGGTAATTCGCAAATTTTTCTAAAAGTTATTGGAGTTATAATCAACTACTCTCTCTGCCCCTTTTTTATAATTCTCAATTTCTCATTTAGAATCTTGACACTATTCATGATGTGAGAGAATGTCCTAAATTACTCTTAACTAGCCTTCTGGCCCGTGCAATGCACGAGTTATCCATATAAAATTGTATTGAGAGATAAGTGAGGAAATATCAGTAAGTCATTATAGGGTATAATATGTAATCGAAAAAAATTGTATTGAGAGATAAGTGAGGAAATATCAGTAAATCATTATAGGGTAAAATATGTAATCGGAAATATGATTAAAGAAATAAAAATTTTGGAACTTTAATCGAAAAAGAGGCTTAAATAGAAGGTGGAAGGGCTAAAATTAAAGAGAGAATAAGAAAAGGTTAAATTAAAGGGGAGAGATGAAATGTGTATGAAAGATGAAGTACTCCCTCCGTTCCTAAATTACATTCTTCTTTGGAAATTTACACGGGAATTAAGGAGGGAAGAATAAGACAAATAACAATAATTAGATAATGCAATAGGAAGCACAAAGATAGATTAGTTATTACTCATGACATGTCATCAATCCTTTGCAAAAAAAAGGACCAATCACATGTTCCTAATTGAAAATTTTTAACCAATCATATTCATTGTAATTTGGCACAAGGATTATGAGTGAGATTAGGTAAGGATGAGTGAGAAAGCATTAAGTATAAAACAGAAAAAGAGAGTTAATTTACTAAAAAACACTTACCAAAAATAGAAAGGAGGAATGTAATTTAGGGACGGAGGGAGTATAAGTTTAATGAAAGAATTAAAAAAAATGGTGTAATAAAAAATTAGGTTTTTCTAAGCTATACCCCTAAGGTATTCGAGTTTCTAAGGTGTACCCATACTTTTTCAAGTTTCTAAGTTGTGCCCCTCAACTCACTACCATTAATGAATGGTATCCTCTTTGGGACTTCCACGTCACCTAAAGTTAACTATAAATTTAATAGAAAGATGATAAAAGGTAAGGAAATGGTAGGAGAAAGAAATCTTAGCCACCGCAACCCTAATAATGAAAACTGAAGCCACGAAATCACACTCTTAATTAACTTTTAAATAACTATAAGGGTACATTTTAGTATTGATAAGGAGTTGAAGGGCACAACTTAGAAACTTGAAAAAGCATGGGTATACCTTTGAAACTCGAATACCTTAAGGGTATAGCTTAGAAAACCCTAAAAAATTAATAGTGTAAGATGACATGTGGCACTATGATTAGAGACGTGTAATAGAATGGATGGGGACATGTGTCTTTCTTAGTTTCTTGGTTACAGTTTTTAAATACTAAGTATAGATATAGATATAGATATAGATATAGATATAGATATAGATATAGATATATAAGACAAAACATAGTCATGAATTCATTATGGGTGTTATTTGATTCGTCTCGATGAACATACTAATAATATTCAATTGTCATATTTTTTACTAATAAGCCACTAACAATATTTATGGTTAAAATGTTTCATTGGCAAACGTGCAAGTCCAAATGAGAATTATAAAAGTGAGCGGAGGGATTAATTTGTAAAATTGCACAGCTTGACATTCAGTAAGAGCTATCTAAATAATCGTACTCCCCCCGTCCCCAAAACTTCGACCCTTTTGGCCTAATTTTAGTCCCAAAATTATCGACTCATTTGCATTAAAATACCTACCAATCTACAACAATGTTTGTGCGAAATTAGCTTCCCCATATAAAATTTTGTTTTTTCATGTATTTTTAATATTTTATATCTCTACTTTTTGACAAACCTCATGTAAATTTATCTTTTCAATATGTTTTTATTTCTTTTTATTTAAGTTTCTTAATAACCGCGAAAGTAACCCAAAATGTTCAAAGTTTTGGGGACGGAGGAAGTATTATTTTTTTACTAAAGTAATCACCAACATTATCCCAAATGTACATGTGTCATTTCCATACCAAAAAAATTCCCGCCAATTTTTTTTCCTTTTAATTTCCTTCAAAAATAATAAGATAATTTGATTAAAAAAAAAGAGAAATAATATGCAGCTTAAAAAATTGAACAATAACAACAACTCTAAATAATTAAAATATTTATTAAATCGTTAATTTATAAAATATATATTCCCTTTAATCTTTAATTGTTAATCTATAAATGTATTATTCGTTTTCTACTGATAAAAATTTTAACTTAATTTTAAATAACTAATTTTTAAGCAAACTACAAAATAGAGATATTATACATTAACGTATCTCATCATATTTTGATAACATAATTAGGTATTTAGATGTATACACAATATATAAACAAATACAAACTTATAATAATTTATAAAATATTTTTTTTCCTGTGAATATCCGACAGTTGCTCGGGTAAATAACTAGTATTACCTATATAAGTGTTAGGCCTTGTTCATTTCGCCTTAAAAAATATTCACTAAAAATAATTTTAGTTCTGTAAAAATAAGTCCAATTCAATAAAAAATCGATAATTTTAAAGAAGAAATATAATAGAAAATCAATAAAAATAATTTCAGTTCAGTAAAGTTAATTCAAAAATAATTTCATATTAATAAAAAATGATTTTAGTTCGGCAAAAATAAGGTGAAGTGAACGGGGTCTTAGTCAAAATATCTAATGTAACTAATTTATCAAATCAGTTAATACAATCAAATATACCAAACAGCTATCAACTAATTACCAAACATGACATTTTGCTAAACAACTATTGATTAAACCCAGTACTATTGCAATATCATTTAACCCTTGCCTTATAAGCACTTCATTACTGAACTCAAAATTTACATAACTCACCGTGAGTCAAGTCATGTACAACTATAACGATTTTCAGTAACCATGTTTGTTAGCTCCGTCAAATGCCTTATGGTATGCTAGGTATACCGTATACAAAAGGCTTATAAAATAATTTTTTAATGGGATTTCATGGGACCTGAGGCATTTTAGTATAATAATAATGCTAAACTTGAAATATTTATTAAGGAGATTAACTTGGTTTTTTTTTCAAAAAATAAAAATAAAAAAATCAACGCATTCCCAATAACGAGCAAAAAAAATGCTCATGAGCAAAACTTTAGGTAAAATTAAAATAAAATTGACTTACATTAATGAGCAAAAGCAAAAATGCTCATGAGCAAAATGAAAATTGCTCGTAGGATGAACATTTTTTCAAGATGAATAGTAACTGCATGGGGTCCACAAGTCAAGTTAAATAATAAAAATAAAATAATAAGTAGAAAGAAATGTAAGAGGGTATTAGTAAAAGTAAGAGAGAAAATGTAGTAGAGAGAGAATAGTGAAGAATTTTTATTTATTTTTTTATTTTTTTTTTATCATTGGTGGGATAAAAATATGATCACAAAAATGCTCATGAGTTGGAAGAGAGAGAAAGTGGGTAGAGAAAGAATGAGGAAATCAATTTTTGCTCATGGTTGATAGTGCTCTCATTATGCGTAAAGTCGACTTTACATTTTTTTTAGCAATTGGATTAGAAAACACTCTCGAAAAGTTTAGATTGGACGCAGGGAATAATAATATATAATAAATGATCAGTGTATTTGGTGCATTTTTAAACCGACATCTAAATTCAAAAGTATATGGTGCATTTAAAAGTGTTCAAGGATACACGGTGCATTATAAAACCTCATTGATACACGAAACAAATTTTTTGGTTACGAGATTTTTTTTTTTTTTGCAATGGGCACACCTTTTCATTGATTAATTTTAATTTTAATTTTTAGGAAGATCTGGCTGTTATTAAAACGTAGTACAGTACTATATAAAGCGGACAAAATGGCGAAAATAGAATCCTGTACGAAAAAACTTTACAGATTTTAATACTAACTGACGAACAAGAGAGAGAAAATCATAGAGTGAAGGTGCAGTGAAGCATTTGTATGTCAAGATAATCATGGCGTCTTCTTCAAGCGACCCCAAAATTCCTCCTCTTCTTCCAGTCGAGTTCACCAAAGCCTCCAATGGCCTTGACAAGGTCATTCTTCGCGAAGCTAGTGGCGTCTCTGCCGAGGTTTTCTCTCTCTCTTTCGCTCCTTTTTTTCGCTGCATTTCAGATTTCTCGATTCTTCGCGATTTCGTTTTGATCTGTTTTGTTCTTCAGGTTTCTTGATTTTCCGCTTGATTTTTTAGCGGCATTTTGTTCTTAATCGGATCTATTTTGCGTATGTTTGATCGAACATTTGCGTGTTGTTTTTCGATTGATTTTGATGATTGAAAATAATCGAAATTCTGTTTGTTGATTTTGTTGTTGTTTGTTGAAATTGTTGTTTATTTGCCAGATTCTTGAATTTTCTGCAAAATGACGATATTATTACATACTTGATTTTCGAAAATGCTTCAATCTAATCGCAAACTGTATAATCGTTTAATCTATTTGTAAATTTGTATAATCGTTCAAGTTAGTTGTATAATTGTTCAGTTCAGTTGTGAATTTGTGTAATCGGTTCTTCTTTTACATGATATTCTTATATATTCTTCTTCTTCTTTCTTGTTTATGAAGGTTTACCTCTATGGAGCTCATGTCACTTCTTGGAAGAATGAGAATAGGGAGGAATTACTTTTCGTAAGCAGCAAGGTGAGTTAATTTTTGTTTACTTTTCGTGTAATCATGTGTTAATAATATGTTATATAAGAATGTGTGCTGTTTTTGTTCGGTGTACGGTTTTAAATCTTGTATGTAGAATGTTGTTGATAATATGTTATATAAGAATGTGTGCTGTTTTAGTCATGGAAGCACTTTTGCGAGCAATGTAGATGGTTTGCAGCTGCTTCGGCCTAAAATCACAGGTTGCAGTAAGCTGAAAACCTTTTATGATGCGTCCAAGATTTACCATCAACTTTTACTTGCTGCCTTGTCTTATGAGAAATAAGATAAGCTTTCTTGATGGAATTTGAATACCGCAGCCTCACACTCTGTCAGAGCTACACCTGTTCATTTAATTTTTGTGATTTAGAAATGGTTGCTAGGTAGATATTTCCTGCCAGTGACTTACTGTTAAATCTTTTTAATTTGTGTAATGATCGTGTTCTTAGTTTTGTGCTTGTCTGAATCTATAGAGGGTTGTGGTGTAGATTCATGGAATTGGAAATTAGCTTGTAAGGCTAATATTGATAGAATATTAAAGTGAAAACACTCTTGAAGAAAATATGTAAGAACCTCAAGGATTTTGAGAAGACGGTGTATCGTACTACTTTTCTCCATTAGAGAGAAAATAGTCTTGTTAGACTTGGATGGTTGCTTTGGGTTGAGAGGAATCTTGTTTGTCTTTTATGCTCAAAGGGGGAGGTGAAGGTGAAAAAGGTTGAAGGGAAGGAGGAAAGGTTAGGGTGCGAGGGACTGAGGGATGAGTGGAATCCTGGATGGCTATTCAAGCGTTTGTCAAGTAAGTGACATATACTGGCAGGTTCACCCTTGTAATAAGGAGGTGCATCGTGCATATGACCCCACTTGGATGGAAAAATATGTGAGGATCTTTTATCATGAGAAACTTAGTAAAAGAAGGCGGGTTGCTCAAAACCGTCACTTTGAAACTGCCTTATCTTTCAACTGGCCTGCATTAATATCAATTACTGGACTTTCATTTTACTTATCAACAGATATTAGTCACACCCTTAACTTTTGTGCTTCAAGCAATTAACTCTACTAAAATCAACATTTGACCCCCCACTGTATTAATCTATTAACCCTTGTATCTTTTTTTTTTTTTTTTTTTTTTTTTTTTTTTTTTTTTTTTTTTTTGAAACCACCACCAGTCCACAGGTACCAGGTACCTTGACCTGGATGCTCTTAAGAACGCTTGTTTTAGCTGCATGGTTTTTCTTGTTATTTGATATCTGGTCTTGTTTTTATATAGCCTGAATTTATCTTTGACCAATTTATTCCCCTCATATCTTTGATACCTCCGTTTCATATTATTTGCAACAATTAGACACTTTCTACTCACACAGTAACACTTTTTGTCAAATCGTTGCGAATAATATGAAACGGAGGTAGTATTTTCAAATTTTATTACTAGATTGATGTCCTAATTCATAGGAGTGTCTTGTGCATATTGTCCTTGTACATGTTGGATTAGTTAGAGCCTATACATGACATCTTGAAATTCAAATTTCTTGTTGGATGCTAGTATTCAATTCGATTTTCTGAATCTGAGATTTCTATTTCCATCTACTTTTACTGATATTTGTTGTGCTGTCCAGGCTATCTTTAAGCCCCCCAAACCAATTCGTGGAGGCATACCTATATGTTTCCCTCAGGTATATGCTCCCTGCCTCTACCCTTTTCTCTCCCTTTCATTATTATTTATCTTCATTTCCCTCATGTGAAATATTTACCATATGGTGCAGTTCAGCAATCATGGAATGCTTGAAGCTCATGGATTTGCCAGAAATAGAGTTTGGAAAGTTGATCCTGAATCACAACCTTCTCCTGCAAACACAGCTAACAAGTCTTACGTTGATTTGCTGCTGAAACCTTCTGAAGATGATCTGAAGATTTGGCCTCACATGTAGGTTTTCCCTATGATGAAGTGATGGGGTGTATGAATGTTTGAATATTGACGTAGATCCTGATATTTTCTAAGTATAATATTAGAGAGTATTTCCTTCCTTTTGTTTGTCAGTCACATTGCTGTACACATTGAATTGAAACAACTCATATCTTTTGTAGTTTTGAATTTCGTCTGAGAGTAACCTTGGCCCCTGGAGGAGATCTGATGCTGACATCACGAGTTAGAAACACTGATACAAAGCCATTCAACTTTTCATTTGCTTATCACACCTATTTCTCTGTTTCTGATATCAGGTATTACAACATTTTGTGCTGATAGTTTATTTTGTAATATTGTTTTTTTCAATTCCAATTTTGTCATAAGTCAGTATAATACCACACATGTTATGTCTTCTTGTACCTTTTTTTTTTAATTTTTTTTTTTTTGGGTATTTGAACTGTCCTTATCTTTCATGCTGATACAGAAACATGATTTAATAAGCTGGTGTAGAGAAAGTTGTCAAACTCATTTTGAGTCCTGCCTTTTGTTGACCAGGCATGCATGTACATTCTTCTGATTCTTTCAGAAGAACTGTCTACATGTTGCAGGATGACTGGGCTAAAGAGTTCTTAGTTTCTAAAACTAGGAGTCAGTTGTCTTTTTTTATGTCCTTTACTCATGCCTTAAGTTATGAATGGCTGGTTTTATGTAATTTTCAGTTCTTTGCATGATGAGACATAGTTGAAAGTTTATACTGGTTGAAAATTTGGATGAAACAATTTAAAAATTTTTGTTGGTCCTGGGCTCCTAGCTTCACAAGGAGCTTGCTTCAAGCTTATAAAATAAGAAAACGTATTAGTTGCATGTTCTGGTCTTGAAGGTCACAACCTACTGACTTGCTAAGTTTGGAGGCTCAAAAAATGTTTTTACTTATGTTTATTGAGTAGGCTGTTGGTTAGGAAGTCTACTGACCTACAGCTTGAGAACAAAAGAAGCAGATTGCAAGTTTGTGAGAGTGCGGGGCTCAATTTTGTACACTTTTGTGTTGAAATTTCTTAGTGTTCCTAGGTGAAGGTGAAAGTTCTTTTAGGTTAACGACCAATTAGTTTAAGAGATGGGTGCTGTATATCTTGTTGGTTGTGAATTGATGATTCATATTTATGTTTTGAACAAATTTTGTTTGAAGGAGAGCTGATATAAACATCACTATGAAGCATGCATCTAAACTTAGCTGTCGACCTTATATAGTTGTTAAGATATTACAATCTATTACAGCTAGTTTTGAACCTTACAAATTTGCTTGTTATCTACTCAGTGAAGTCCGGGTAGAAGGATTGGAGACTTTGGATTACCTTGACAACACGAAGGGCAGGGAGCGCTTTACTGAACAGGGGGATGCCATCACATTTGAAGGAGAAGTGAGTGTTGCTTTCTTCTTTCTTTCTCTCCTGGTGCAACATGAAATTTATCCAAATTTGCTGTGTATCAATAGATTGACAAGATATATCTAAGCACACCCTCTAAGATTGCAATCCTGGATCATGAAAGGAAAAGGACATTCGTGATTCGTAAAGATGGACTACCAGATGCTGGTAAGAATATCCCTAGTCAATTTTCATGAAATATATATATTCCAAGAATAATTACGTGTAAATGTTGCATTGTTTTAGTGAATATTCATAGCTGACTAGATGTAGCACTTGGATGGCTGTGCTGAGAAAGCTGTCATTATCTTAAGGATATATTTCTGCGAAAATTTTAATGCTGTCAAATCTTTTTTTAGAAATTTCCGTTCCTTTTTTTCTTTTTTCACCTTGTTTAAGGCTGGATAATTGTGCCTTTTTGTGAAGTTGTGATTGTTGAGATATTTTCTAAAAGGCGAGAGTTATATCAACTTCTCTTCTACCTTTTCATGTGTCAAATTTGATGAAATTCTTGACCTACTAACTGGCTGGCTGGCTGGCATAGTGTAACTGAGAAATATTATTTTCTTTTGTAGTGGTATGGAATCCCTGGAACAAGAAAGCTAAGGCATTGGCTGATTTTGGAGATGATGAGTACAAGCATATGCTGTGTGTGGAACCTGCTGCAATTGAGAAGCAGATAACGCTCAAGCCGGGTGAGGAGTGGAGAGGCAGGCAGGAACTATCTGCCGTTCCATCTAGCTATTGTAGCGGGCAGCTTGATCCTCTGAGAGTTCTACGAGGAAGCTGAAGTTTTGTTGTCGTCAACGTCCTGTACAGGTTATTTCCTGAATCTAGTTCCCTTTATTCTTGAAGTGGTTAACCCTAGGTATGTTAGGAAATAGGACTTTGGCTATAAACCAAACCGTGTTTTTTGCATTTCATGGAAACACAAAGATTGGTTAGAGGTAAGGTTAATTGTATTCTTATCTTCCTAGTGGAACTAGATTGTGGTGCTTACATTTGTTTGGCTACCTTTTTGTTTGCATGATGATTTTAATAGCCTAGATTAATTTTTTCAGTTCATCGCAAGAAATTAGTTCATTAAGAAATTGTCTACCAGATTTTTGTGCACCTCTTTTAGCCCCTGGTATCAATACGTGGAACACAAAGCATTCTCTGGCTTAGTGGCCTCTGACATCTTGTTTTTCTCATCAGCCTTTTGCAAATGTATTTAAAATTTTGAATGCTGTGACATTATTGAACCATAGCTGCTGTGCCAGTTAATCTCTTATCAGATGTGAAGAATGACTAAACTAGGCCGTATGCTTTTTTTAATGATAGGATTTCCTTTTCATCTTCTGAGTTTTCTGATCCAATTTTTATCATTTATTCCTTTATGGGTGACAGATGGGTCTTTGTGGAGCTCTTTGCATATTGAAGTTGGAATAGTGAGGTGGAATTCATCAGGTTTCTATTTTCCTGTTTTTTCTACAATGGGTATATGGCGGATTTTTGAGTCAAGAACTTGGTCAAATAATGTTTCGTTATAATTGGATGGCTATTTTTGGTGGCATGTCAAAGCGGAACACTTGCGCTGACTATCAATACACCACTAATTGTGGTTACAGAACTTGCATAATGTAATATCTTTGTAGTAGATGGACAAAGCTCTTGCTTTCCTTTTTGACCTAAATTTTGAAAGCATGAATTTTGAGACATATAGATCTTTTACAAATATTACCTATAATTTTTTTAATTTGAGTTGCACAGGGCATGGTTTATGATGTTCAGGAATGGATTATTGCCTTATTGGGGATATAATCCCTAAGTGCAGGAAACAGGGTAATAAGTTGAAACAGTGTCGTCTGTTTCTTGTAAATTGCACCATTCAGTTTTTTCAAGAATGGATATTACTCTTAAAGATGTTGCAGTGATCAAATTTGTCTGGGAAAGACTTGCTGATTTTGCTTCGGTTAAAGATTTTAGTTTCTAAATTTTTGATGATACTTTCCAACGTATTTTGATACTCTATATTTTGTTCGGTTAAATGTATTTAAAACTTTTTGTTCAGTGATCTGCCTGAGACAAAAATGATGTTAATTCTTAATAAGTTAGCAGTCTTGCTTTATTTAAGGGTACTGCTAAGGATCTTTAGTTGAAGATTTTGATTTCTTCTTTAATACTTGGTTGTTTTACGAACAATTTCAGTTTAAAACTATTTTACAACTTGTATGTGTTACTTTAAAAAATTCAAAATTTGGGACCTATCATTTTGCTTAAGATAATATAAAAAGGTTACCCAGAACACAAACTTTTAAATAAAACGGATGTTCAGTAAATTACTGAACATCCGTTATAAAGTTACAATAAAATGTGCAAAAGTTACACTACAACGCACAAAAGTTACCGTGACATATATAAGAGTTATTTATGCTTTATTGATAAATTTGACAAAAGTGACACTAAATTTGACAAAAGTGACACTAAATCTGGCAAAAGTGTACCCGATATATAGTAAGTTACTGAAAACCGGGTGTATACAAAAGTTTTCCTACATAGAATTGTATTTGCAGGAAAAAATGGAACACATGCTTGATATTTGCCTATGCCTAAGGCACACGGACACAACTATTTTTCAGACTAATTACACTTTCCGAGTACTCTAGGAATATGATGATACTTTGTTTGGAATTAATAGTCATGTAATACGTGTATAGTTTAGGATCACTGGAAAATAGCATTGTAGTGACATTCTTATCGGGTAAATGGGTCGGGTTTGAGTCGGGTTAGTGTGGGTCGGGTCATCTCGGGTCGGGTCAATACGGGATAATGTCGGGACCTATGCGGGTCGAGTTCGGGTTGGGTCATGCTTGAGTCGGGTCACGTCGGGTCATACATCTTATCGGGTTTGGGTCGGGTTTAGGTCGGGTTGCATTCGGGTCGGGTGAAAAACAGGTCGAGTTACATTCGGGTTTTTACGGGTTTAAACGAGTTAGGGTTCTGTTCGGGTTCGAGTCGGGTTCGGTTCAAGTCAATAATTTGCGGGTTATAATCAAGTCGGTTCATATTCAAGTCGGGTCATTCTCGGGTTCGAGTCGGGTTCGGTTCAAGTCAATAAATTTTTAATTTTTTTTTAAAGCTCCAAATAAAATTGCATAATTTAAAACATTTAAAAATATATTAAAATAAACAAGTGAATACTAACATTTGAAAAAAATATATAAGTAGTTATATGGAAGTTTATTTAAGGGTTATAATCTTATGTATTTGTTAACGTCGAATCTCTATTGTAAATGTCGTATGACTTTTAATTAATGAAATGTTTTTGCTATTCAAAAAAAAAAAAGTTTATTTATAAGATAAATTTAGAAAAAAAAAATACATTTGGCTGATTTAATTAGACAAAATCACTACCTTTCAAAAAAAAAAAAAAAAAAAAAATTAGACAAAATTCACTCACCTCATATTGCCTCAAATACGTTTAAAATGCATTGATAGCTCATAGAGTCACAACTCTATTCTAATACTCTATCACCTCATGTCCTCATATAGCTCATTGCTCATATAGGAAGTTGAAGATAATTAGGAAAAATAAAATCAATCACAATAGAGATTTCATGGTGGAAAATTTCGTCAATCTCGCCATTAGAGTGCAACCTTCCTTAATATACGAAGATTCAGTCTTTTTTTTTTTTTTTTTTGTGTGGCTGTTGTCCAGTTCAGTTTTTCTTTGACGAGGATTATGTAAGAGATAAGTCAAGTAAGATGAGAAAGGCCACTTTTGTTTCATAATTGAAATCCATGTTAATAAATTGAAAAAAAGCCTGAAACTCAATAGTCAATACGGAGTACTCTTTTTATCCTAAAAACTCCTAAGTCCTAAAATTCGGATTAGTAATAGGTCGAGTTTAAATTCGGATTAGGTCAATAAGAAGTCGGGTTGAATTTGGGTCGGGTCAATAACAAGTCGGGTTGCAAGCCTCAGGTCGGGTTTAAATTCGAGTCGGGTTAGGAACGGGTCGGGTTGACCTCGGGTCGGGTTAGTAACCAGTCGGGTTGAATTCGGGTTTTGACGAGTTAAATCGGGTTTGGGTCATTCTCGGGTTCGAGTCGGGTTCGGTTCAGGTCAATAATTTACGGGTCACATTCGGGTCGGGTCCTCTCTAGGTCGGGTCATGGTCGGGTTCGGGTCTCAAATACTCGGGTCAACTCGGGTCTAGGGTTGGTTTTAGGTCGGGTTTGGGTCACCATTTTTTCGGGTTCAGACGGGTTAGGGTTAGGGTTGGGTTAGGGTCGGTATTTCGGGTCGGGTCAACTTTTGACAGTTCTAGTTGTCACCCTCTTTATATGTGTTCACAAGTTGAATAAAGACAGGATGACATTGATTTTGTGTTATTACCACCTTACAAGAATAAAATTGAAGAATATATGAACTAATTTGCCAGATAAAAAAAATAAATTATAGCAATACTTGCTGACTAATTTGCAAATACAATCCTGAACCAATATTGTCATCCTGATATATCTCTTTTACTACTGCTGTTCAAGTTCTTGATTCATCCATCGGTTCCTTTAATCCAATCTCGCGAAAATCCGAAGAGTCTTTGAAATCCTGCTTCAGGGTTGTATTTAGCAAGGTTGCTACTAATACATGGATTGCAGGTGGGAGCTTAGTTCCCATATTTGCGCAGTATTATGTTAGAAATTTTCAACAGGTTTACACATACATGATACATTGTTGCTAAGCTTAGATTAGGCAAGGAGAACAAACAAAAATGTCAAAGTTGGCTAAAAATTCTTCTTTTTAAAAAAACTTGGCTAAAAATAGGCGCGATGATTTAGTAAAAGAATCTTTGTTAGAGAAACCTACGTTTATGCAAATATAATCACTCATATATATATATAAATCCGAAACCTTCAAAATTTCTTAAAAAGCGTGGATAATTAGCCTTCAATTTTAGAAATTTTTGACTGTTTTTCACCCAGAAATAAAAATTGCCGAAATGTTTACCATGATCCCTAATACCCTCCGCGAGTCCGATTGGCCGGGTGAAATCATCCAATTTTCTTTTAAACAACCAATTTGCTGGTTTACAACTTGCACCGATTTCATTAACTCAAGCTTACCACAAACATTTATGACAACATATAATGATAATATATGGATCCAAACGGCATTATATGACCCCGAGATGTATCCCTTAAAATCTCAATACTTTTTGACACCGGGCCCCAAAACGTTAGAAATTTCTCAAAAAGCGTGGATATTAGCCTTCAATTTAAGAATTTTTTGACTTTTTTCGCCCGGATATAAAAATTGCCGAAATGTTTACTATGGTCCCATATACCCTCCGGGAGTCCAATTGGATGGCTGGAACCATCCAATTTGCCTTTAAACGGCTAATTTACCGGTTTACAACTTACACCGATTTCATTAATTCAAGCCTACCACGAACATTTATGACAACAAATATTGTCATATATTCTTCCAAACGACATTATATGACCCCGAGATATATTCCCTAGAATTTCAAGACTTTTCGACACCGGGCCCCGAAACATTCGAAATTTCTCAAAAAGCGTGGATATTAGCCTTCAATTTTGGAAATTTTTGACTTTTTTTCGTCCGAATATAAAAATTGCTGAAATGTTTACCATGATCTCTAATATCCTCTGAGAGTCTAATTGGGTGGGTGGAACCGTCCAATTTGCCTTTAAATGGCCAATTTAATTACCGGTTTACAACTTGCACGGATTTCATTAACTCAAGCCTACTACGAACATTAATGACAACATATAATGCTCATATATGGTTCCAAACGACATTATATGACCCCGAGATGTATCCCCTTAAATATCAATACTTTTCTACACCAGGCCCCGAAACCTCCAAAATTTCTCAAAAAACGTGGATATTAGCCTTCAATTTTGAAATTTTTGATTTTTTTTTTCGCCCGGAAATATAAATTGCTGAAAGGTTTACCATGGTCCCTAGTTCCCTCCGGGAGTCCAATTGGGTGGGTGGAACCATCCAATTTGCCTTTAAACGGCCAATTTACTGTTTTACAACTTGCACGGATTTCATTAACTCAAGCCTACTACGAACATTTATGACAACAAATAATGATCATATATGGTTCCAAACGGCATTATATGACTCCGAGATATACCCCATAGAATATCAAGACGTTCTACACCGGGCCCCCGAAACCTCTTAAATTTCTTAAAAAACGTGGATATTAGCCTTCAATTTTGGAAATTTTTGACTTTTTTTCGCCCGGAATTAAAAATTGCCGAATTGTTTACCATGGCTCCTAATACCCTCCGGGAGTCCAAGTGGGTGTGTGGAACCATTCAATTTGCTTTTAAACGGCCAATTTACCGGTTTACAACTTGCACCGATTTACGGGTTTACAACGGCCAATTAAATTAACTTGCACCGAACCCGACTTGAACCGAAATTTACCAAAACCCGTTTTAACCCGTCAAAACCCGAATTTAACCCGACTTGTTACTAACCTAACCTGAATTCAACCCGACCTGTTCCTAACCCGACCTGAAATCAACCCGACTGTTATTGACCCGACCCGAATTTTACCATACCTATTACTTACCAAACCCAAAATTTCAACCCGATCTGTTACTAACCCGATTCAAAATTAACACGACTTGTTATTGACTCGACCTAAATTTAGACCACTGTATTATTGTTGATCAAAGCATTTTGTCTTAGGAGACCAAGTCGGTCCAGGCAGCAAAAGAAAGGAGCATCATCCTCAAATTTAAGAGTTAAATATAATATATATATTTGTTGTATGGTCAAAGGAGATAATTATCTTCCTAAATTATAAACTATAGTTCCCTAGTATATTGCCATATATATTATAGTCAAAGGAAATAATTAGCTTGATAAAAATGATAATTATCTATTTATAGTTAGTTGAACCCGAATATGACCTGGCTTGAAAATGACTCGACCTGATTGTAACCTGTAAATTATTGACTTGAACATAACCCAACTTGAATCCGAGAATGACCCGATTCGGAAATGACCTAATCTGTTTATAACCCGCAAATTATTGACTTGAATCGAACCCGACTTGAATCCGAGAATGACCCGACTTGAAAATGACTCGATCTGATTATAATCCGCAAATTATTGACTTGAACCGAACGTGACTCAAACTCGAGAATGACCCGACCTGATTCTAACCCGCAAATTATTGATTTGACTCGAACCCGAGAATTACCCTAACCCGTTTTAACCCGTGAAAACCTGAATTATACCCGACCCGAATGTAACCCGAGCTGTTATTAATCCGACCTAAACCCGACCCAAACCTGATAAGAAGTATGACCCGACGTGACTCGACTCAAACATGACCTAACCCTAACCTGACCCGCATAGGTTATGGAATTAATCTGAATTGACCCGACCCGAGTTGACCCGACCCACTCTTACCGACCCAAACCCGACCCGTTACCCGAATTGACAGCTCTATATATAATCACTCTAAGACCATATTTTTGTTATTTACAGATTTACCTAACAAAAGAGAGTCTAAATCTCCGGTTATCCTCGGAGATTGCTTAGAAAAATATTACAGAGTACATAGTAATTTTTTTTAATTTTTGTTAAAAAAATTCTACTAATTTTTTTAGTATAAAACTCAACAGTTAAGATCATAAGCTAGCTTGATTTGCACCCCAAAAAAAAAAAAAAAAAAAAAAAAAAAACTGGCTTGACAACCTGCGGATAGGATAACAGGAGTATGATACAATAATTCAACGTAATAATCTGGAATATGATTCGGTGCAAGATAGATTATCAGATTAATTAAGATAGAAAATCAAAATATAATGTGGAATGACTGGAATCAATTATTCTCCCTAACTTATATGTCCATGATACCTTGATTTCATGTGAGCAAAATATTTTGGACAGCAAATGACAAATGTAATAGACAGCAAATTATAGTTCATCCATTTGGAAGTTAATACTTACATTTTTTAATTTTATTAATACAATCATTATATTCCATGTGAATTTATTACAGTAACTCTTATTTGCTGTTTTATTTAACTGGATTTTTATGGCGAACTAGCAAAGGGATGATGTTATGAATAGATCATTGTGATTTATTCGATACAGGATGAAACTTACTTAGGTGTCAATTTGGGTCACTAGGCCAGATTTGATTGGATGTATACGCGTTGAATCTAGTTTTTATCATTCAAGTCAAATTAAATCTAGCTAGGGCAACTTATATTTTAGGGAGTGATTTCCAAGTCAATTTAGTGTTCTGGGAATTTGTCTCCCTCCACTAAAAACAAAAGATCTGGCAAATATCAACTTTGATTATTTGATTTGATAGATCAGTACTATCTTATACAAGTATGTTGTATTGTTGTTTTTGCCTTACCATAAAAAGTAATAATAATTCTATCTTTAGAATAACCTAAACACCTAGTAACAAAACCCAAATCTTTATCACTTCAATTAATGCCAAGCAAACCTTATGTTAAACACAGTATGAATTACATGAAGTACAATGATTGAATTGTACTCGAATAAGTTAATCACATTCAATTTTGATTTGAATTAAAACCAAATATGACCCATAAAGAAGTACGGAGTACCTTATTAAACTTAAAGGGTTACAAATTGTTCATCACCTAAATATGGCTCGAGGTGGACCTGATTTTAATGACACGCACACGCGTGCCATGCTTTCAAATACAAGTATATCAGATTTCACAATTGAAATACTTTGTATTTCAGTGAATGCTTTTGTCTGCCTCTGAACAAAATCAACCAAGGCCTACAAACCTAACAAATATTGTGAACCTTATTAACTTATCTTACTCTCAATTTTATGTTGTCATAAGTTTTCCTATTTCCTCTATTTGTCTCAGCCTCAAGATTATTTAGCAAAATTAAAAAGTAAATAAATAAAATAAGTAAAAAGGTATTTTTATAAAAAAAATTATCTAAAATCAAGACAGAATGTCAGCTAGTTTAGCAGATATGAATCTTGAAATTACCTGATCCACAGAAAGAAGTAAAGATGATGAAAATGACAGCAACTAACTGAAGCTGACATTTTTTTATGAAAAAAAATATCTGAATATTTAGCAATACTTGCACAAATTCAGCTCAATATTTAATGTACCTCCCCTCAATAAGGAAAAATCCTATATGTACACTTTGTCACTAATCTGGGGAGCAAAATCATCTTCATCACGTTCTGTAAATCACCTTACAAGTGGTATTAGCAAATACTCTGCATAAAATAGCTGCAAGGAGAAACGACCTTTCAGATGACTATCAATGCAATAACTAAAATCCCGTCATGGAAGATGATCATTCAAGACCAAACGAGTTTATGTAGGCATTATAATTTGTGTTGAATCTATACTTTGCAGATTTAAAATTTGTGTTTACAATGACAAAGGAATAAGACTAGCAACAAAATACCAAATGAACATTATAATGTAGTGTACTAGTGTCCTGACATCAAAGGGTAATATGGCATCAGTATAATATTACTCGACATAATACAGTCAATAACTCTACGTTTTTATAATTTTTAGTTCCAAAATCTTATTATTAAGTGTCAAAGGAACTGAATTGAAATTTCCTATAAGCAATATCAGCAGTACCTAGACCATAGCAGAACAAACATAAAGCTACTCCACCTTTTGGAATAGAAACAGGCATTAACGAAGCAACAATAAGGGTAAGATTAAATAGGGTGCCGTCTTACCTTCCAGATGAACATGTAAAAAGAAGTGATTGCAACTTTGCTGCTAAGATCAGTAGATTTGGCACTTCTCCACAGCATTGCAGCCAATATACCATGACCAACAACCTACAAGAAAAGAAATAATGGAACAAGGTGAAACCTTTTTCTAGCCTTAATCCCCATATTCCAACACTGAATAAGATTCATAAGATTTAGGCTCAGATATTAGGCTTGGCCAAGGCAGATCGTTTCTAATATTTATTTTTATTTTTTTTAATTTTTTTGTATATCCTCAAAATTCAATCATCCAATGAAAAAGTGTTGGAAAACTCAAAACCATGGTGAAGGTAGGGTAATTATACTACCCTTTCCAGAGATCATGCAAACTTAATACAATTTTATTTCAGGGCGTATCTCATGAATTTCAATTCCATTTATGACCCTAAAGATGGGAAATCTAGTAGCCAAAGAGCTTGTTCTTTTAAAGATGATAATAAACAATCTAGGGTGACTTTTAATAGCTAAAACAACGTGGAAATATTTTCTAGAAATACCAAGTATTAATTGGCCTCGCCAGTATTCTATCATGGGAGTTTCACTCATCTATGGTGAATACACTAGTTGTCAGTCCATAATGGTTAAGCAGTGACAGCAACCAATGTTGCACAGATATTCTCGATCTTAGATGTGATGGCTCACTGTGAAGGAAAACTTTTGTATACACCCGGTTTTCAGTAATTTACTGTACATCGAGCACACTTTTGTCAGATTTAGTGTCACTTTTGTCAAATTTATCAATGAAGCATTAACGGATGTTCAGTAATTTACTGAACATCCGTTTTATTTAAAAGTTTGTCCACTGTGAATAGCAGAATAGGTATTAGGTACCTTAGTGTCAGCATCTCGTAACATCAATAAAAACTTTCTTGAAACTATGGGCCGTAAATCTTCTAAAAGGCATCTAAATTCCAGAAATAATTGACATGCTTTTTTTCGAAGTCAATATAGAAGCACATTGTACATACCGTGATAAGTTTGCTCCAAAGAAAGGAGGATGATGCCCCAACTAAAATGGCAACAGCATAAGCAATTTGAAGTAGAGAAATACAAATCCAAAATACCTGCCAGATTTGCAATAATAGAATTAAGCCGTGAAGTCTGTAAATCACATATGCTCCTTTTTTTCCCTGTGTTTATTACTTAATCAAAACTAACCCGCTTCTGTCCCAGTCGTACTGTAAATGACCGGATACCAAATATCCTATCACCTTCCATATCAGGTATATCCTGCATAAAAGAGTGGTTCAAAATGAGTTACTGGACTTGAGCATTCAACATTAAGAAATATGTTTATGGGACATAAATTAATCACAATGCACAAGAGTATCTTATTACTTTAATACATCATTTGTAGTTGAATCTAATGACAGATGCAGAGTATGGCCCGGTTCACTTCACCTTATTTTTGCTGAATTGAAATTATTTTTACCAAACTGAAAAAACTGAAATTAATTTTGCTAAACTTAGAACATTTTCTACTATGGCGCTTAATACAACAGTCATCTATCAAGCAGATCACTATTTCAAATGGAAATGAGTTTTTACCTTAAACAATGCTATAACCACCGAAAAGAAACTCATAAATGCAGTTGCAAAAATCAATGGCCTGGAAAAGATAGCTGGTTGTCCAAAGACATGTGTCTGCAGTAGTTGCACACAAATTGAACACCTTTAGAGAGAGTAAAAGATGAACAAAACTTAATGAAGTTTATGCATAATTTTTGAAGACAATATAGCAATGTATGTTCACAATTGGTGAATGAGCAACAGGAAATAATCAAACAAATTTCTGGATAACTATATAAAATCAATAGTTTTGGTAGTATATGCTAAGTTTCAATAACCAAATGGATATGCAAATACCAACAATATTCATGACGAGGGTCAGAACACCACCTGCATGTGCAGGAAAAAAGCAATTTGAACAATTATAGCCCGAACGGCGAGGATACACATTGCTGCAACAACAGCAGATCTCTTCCATCTCAACATAGGCAGCTGAAAGTCCAAGAGCAAAGAATAAGCAAAATTTACCACCTCATACAAAAGTTCTAAATTTTTAAGCAATAAGACATCATACTTGTCAAACTACAGCAAAGAAAGCAAACTTTGCAAAAAAGGGTTTGAGAGATTCTATTGAATTTTTTCTAGAAACTTCCTCATTTATAAGAGCAGCTTTTAGATACTCAGTCCCTTTGGAATAAACACCAGCTGGATTTCCAAAATCTAGTGAAAATAGCATCCAGATGTTAAAGAGCACAAAGAGGCTACAATCTTGTACTAAATGGATATATAACAGAAAATACAACTTAAATTTGGAATTTGATCACCTGTCTCTGTGATCAAGGTGTTTCTCAGTCAGGGCAGAGTTTAAACCTAAGTAACATACTGCTACGTAATATGTTCACCAGCCATAGACATTTGGTTGGTCACTAAACTCACTACTGTCTCTGTTCAAAATATTTCAACTTTAAGACCATAGTTTGATTAGTAACCACCAAAGAACAATGTAAACCAAGCATCACATACATGTCTCTGACAAACCATTAGAGCATTAAACCTTACATTTATGGAATATGCTGTACCAAGCACAAAGCTGACAGAAAGAGCCCAGAATAAGGGCCATGAACCAACAACTGACCACAGCCAAAAACTCTGCATGACAGAGAAACAAATAAATGAGAATAACACTTGGTAATCCAAGAAATCTAGGACAGAATGAACATACATGGAGATAACAATTTGGGATGAAGAACATGCAATGTATGGACATGAATGATAAATGTCAACAAAAGGATGGAAGAGCAACCAACAATTTGGTAATAGGAAATAGTGAAATACAAATCTTGAAATAGATGTATGCAATGCACAACCCGAAAGCTGAAAGCATTTCATAAGCTAACAAAAATTATGTAGTCATCCTCAGCAGCGCATTTAGAACTCCTTACCAATATGGCAAATGACGTAACAATGAAGATACCAGTTCCAGTAGAATATTCCCCGGATGCAAGAGGAAGATATGGTTTGTTGACCTATAACCACATTAAGATGTACACACATTAGATAACATGATCCATGTAGCATGAACAACAAAAACTATCCAATATGGATTTTACCAACAGCAGGTTCTGTAGAGGGACTACTTTACTCTGCCTTACACCTAACCAGTGTATACTAGTGACAAGGTTATTGACCGAAGTTAACTGAGTATCAAACTAATACACAGTATTGTCTAGCAATGTTAAATGTAGACATATAGTCCTTAGTGATTTTGGATTTTATTATTTTTTTATTTTTCCTTAGTAAATTGATTTTGTTGCAGAAACATGATGTATTTTGAGATAGGGTAAATACTTAAGCAGCTTCAAGTTAGATGCCTCATCTCATGGTTCTGTTCGGAGCTATATCAACTAATTTCACTGTAGAGAAAGTAATATAAACAACATATGCCAATATGTATTTGAATAAAATGATGTGGATTGTGAATTTGTGAATAAATGGAAGGCAAGATATGTCAAGTCCTTACCTTGTCTATCTCTATGTCAGATATCTGATTCAAACCTACGATGTATATATTCATGAAAAGAGCAGCAATAATGGCCTGTAAAGAGTCATAGATTGATCAGGAGAAGCATTTATTGATAGAAAAAACGCTTCAAATATACCTAGGTAAGGAGGACAGTGAGCACATATATCCAGCATTACCTCTAACATTCCAGTGAAAAACATAGGAGAAAAATCTGAAAGCTTCTGCACTGCAAGTAGAGAAACTGAAACTATGCTCAATGCCTGTCATAAAAAAAGTAAAACATCCAAGTTATATATCATAAATTTCAAGAGCATAGGAATACAAGTAGAATCAGAAGGAATGAAGAGATGTGACATTAATCAAAAGGTTGAAACCTTAGAAAACTTAACTGTTCCTATAACTGTGTGAGGCCTTGAAAACCTATAAAAGGCATCCAAAAAATTGATAATTGAATTCCAAATATTCTTAGGTTCATAAGCGTTTGGTTCAGATTCAAGCGACTGTCCGTGGCACGCAACTACCAAGCGTTTTCTACTATATGTCGGGGACAGCATATGCTTCCTTTGACCAGTTATAGTGTGATTCTCCACCAACTGTCGCTGGTACCTCACATTGCAAATTCCCTCTATCAAACTCCATTCTTTAAACTTCGAGCCTTGGATTGCTAGATCAGAAACATCAGCCATAACATCAGTCTAACACTATATCAATGGCAAAGGACAGACAGACAGACAGACAACAAAAGGCTCCTTAGATACATTCATGGCTAGTATTATTTTTTTATTCGTTTCTGCATTCACATGTTTATGTTTTTAATATCATACAACCATATGGAATTGAATTTTCAACAACAATAAAGCATTAGTCCCAAATTGATTTGGGGTCGGCTAACATGTTTCATCACAAGGAACCATTTGTGAAAAACGAAAAATTCTACCTGGAGCAGAAAAATGACAGTGAAACTATCAACTTAAACATCAAACTCATAGTGGTATAAATTGATCATACAGCATTAATTATCATTGCCAAATTCATTAATAGTGTACTACAACCTTCAAAAACATGTAATAGAGTACCAAAAGCCCATAACATTTAGGAATCCGCTTTGTCTACGATTAATTGAAACTACAACGATTATTACAAGGTTTGCAACACACCACACAAATACATAACCAGAAAAGACGAGTTGAATTTTACAACAAGCAATAATATCGTACATGCATCTTCTACCTGACTAATTCTAGTAACAATACTAAAATTATAGGCCCACATTCTATAAATAATCAAAACACTGATCAAAACAAGTCAACAACCACCATTCAAATAACAATAATAATAATAATACTGGGTTTGAACAAGAAATCAACAGTTTAAGTAGGGTTAAACAAAACATTACTAAAACTGGGTTAATTTTTTCCAAAATCCCAACAAAACCCATCTCTTGGAGTTCTATTTTAAGCAAAACCCAGAAATCAAAGATCAAGAATCATTCAAAAAAATGCAACTTTCTAATCAATAAACTTCAAAATAAAGCAAAGGAGTAGAAACCTTACAATTTCTGAGTGAAGGAAGAAGAACAGCTGCTGATAAATTGTGTGAATTTGGCCTTGTAAATGACCCAACTATTAATGAATCCATTGTACCCTCTCTCTAATTTTCTCTCCTCAGTTGAATAACCCAAAAAAAAGGAGGAAAATTGCTTGTGAATCAGGTAGCAGAAAGACGCTTCCAGTTGTAGCAACTACTCTATGACAGTACTCAGTGAGGAAGATGACACACACTGACAAACCCAATTGTTGTAAAAAATTTGAGGGAAAATAGCAGAATATATAATTCGTGTTTTCTTTAACGATTTTAATGTACGAGTACTCTATAGTCCGTACCTAGTTAGAGATGGATATTGGTCAGGTCGGCGTACGAAAGCAGGTTAGGTATGACATGGTTTGATTCGGCACAAACCCGTTACAAGCCCTACATGACAACTCATCAGTGTGTCATGGGTCGTGCATAGATATTATTTTTTCGGCACGGCATAATGAGGTGATCGCCTAACCTTCTAAATTTTGATTAATTTAAAAAAGAACCGATTAGAGACTGTCACGTGGCATGATTAACCATAATGACTAACATGGTATTTGGTGATTTTTTGTGAAATTCATTGATATATGGTGAATTTAAAATTTTTGATGGGTATATAGTGAATAAAGTAATAGCTCGGGGGTATTTCGTGAAAAAAACCGTTAATTTAATTAATCTCTCACTCTCTATTAGGCCTTATTTTTTTGAGTTGAATTAAAATTAAATAGTAAGGAATACAGAGAGCTAATCTTAAAATAAGTCTAGCTCAGTTCATTTGAGTTCTTCTTTTTAACATTTTTTTCATCTTTTAAAGATTGCTCCATTTTATTTGAGAAAAAGCGTTAGTTTGAGTTTATCCTATTACTCTTTCAATTAATTTTCTAACACAAATTTTTGTATGTGGCTAGCCACACTGTGTGGCCAGCCACAATTATTATTATTATTATTTTAAAAAAAAATACCACAACTCTTCTCTCTCTTCTTTTCTTATCTTCTTCTCCAAATCATACATCACCAACAACCATATCTCTACTACACCCATTTTCACTCTCCTCTTTTCTTAGCCTCTTCTTCAAGCCAAACCACACATCACCAACAACCATATCTCTACTCCACCCATTTTTTCTCTCCTCTTTGCCAAATTGCTGCAATTAAAGCCCAAAATTGTAGAAATTGGGTGTTAAATTGCTGTGAAAAATTGTGATTAATTATCCTTAAAATCATCAACAACATTTGAAGTAGTGAAATTGATGAGAACCAAAGAAATGTGAGCTCGTTTTCTTCGTGGAATCTTAGATCAAATATTCTACGTCAAAAATTGTAGGGTGTTACTAGTTTGGTTATTGTAGGTGTTACTGGTTTGGTCAGGGGTTACATGTAGGGTGTTACTGGTTTGGTCAGGGGTTACTGGTTTGGTGAGGGTGTTACCGGTTTGGTTAGGGGTTACATGTAGGGTGTTACTGGTTTGGTTAGGGGTTACTGGTTCGGTGAGGGTGTTACCGGTTTGGTCAGGGGTTACATGTAGGGTGTTACTGGTTTGGTCAGGGGTTACTTATAGGGTGTTAGTGGTTTGGTGAGGGTGTTACTGATTTGGTCAGGTTACTTGTAGGGTGTTACTGGTTTTGGTCAGGGGTTACTTGTAGGGTGTTACTGGTTTGGTTAGGGGTTACTTGTAGGGTGTTACTAGTTTTGCTCAAGAGTTACTTGTAGGGTGTTACTGGTTTGGTTAGAGATTGCTTGTAGAGTGTTACTAGTTTTGCTCAGGGGTTACTTGTAGTGTGTTATTGGTTTGGTATAGGGCTTACAAGTAACCATTGAATAAGTAACAAGTAACCCTTGAATAAGTAATTCATACAAGTAACCTTTGAAGTAACTCATATAAGTAACCCCTGAATAAGTAACTCATTCAAGTAACCCTTGAATAAATAACTCTACAAGTAACCCTTGAATTAACCCATACAAGTAACCCCTGAAAAAAAATAATACAAGTAACCCCTGAAAAAAAAAATACAACTAAATCTTGAAAAAAAAAATACAAGTAACCCCTGGAAAAAAAATACAAGTAACTCTTGAAAAAAAATACAAGTAACCCCTGAATAAGTAATCTATACAAGTAACCCCTGAAAAAAGAAATACAAGTAACCCCTGAAAAAAAAAATACAAGTAACCCCTGAATAAGTAATCCATACAAGTAACCTCTGAAAAAAAAATACAAGTAACATCTGAAAAAAAATACAAGTAACCCCTGAATAAATAATCCGTACAAGTAACCCCTGAAAAAAAAAATACAAGTAACCCTTGAAAAAAAAAATACAAGTAACCCCTGAATAAATAATCCATACAAGTAACCCTTGAAAGAAAAAATACAAGTAACCTCTGAAAAAAAAATACAAGTCTTGAAAAAAAAACAAAAAATACAAGTAAACCCTTAAAAAAATACAAGTAACCCTGACAAAACCAGTAACCCTGTTATGCGAGTGAATAGTAACCTCATTATACTATGTAATCCGTTATTTTTACTGATTTGGCAGCAGGCCACACGGTGTGGCCTGTTGCACCAAAAAAGCTCTGATTTTCTAATCTTAGTAGTTCTCTTTATTTATCTAATCTTAGTAGTTCTCTTTATTTATCTCTCTTAATATGCACATCTTTGACTAAATTTTAATACAGTGACAATTGAGATGTAACTCATAATTTGTAAGAGATAACAATTACAAGACGCAACATTTAAGAGATTTGAGATTATTATATACATATATAGAGTACGTAGCTCTTAAGATAAAAATAATATCTTGATATTATAACCTTAAGGGGAAAAAGTGGGGTACTTAAATAATTTTTTTATTACGAGTATATTTATAGTAAAATCAAATTTAGCACCACAATATTTTTTTTTTAATGTATACCAAGTACTTCCGTTCAAAAAATAAATGTATTTAAGTACTTGTACAATAGTTTTTTGGACGGGCAAATGTATATGAGACATGTGAGCACATATATGGTTGGTCGTACCATATATTTTCTTCAATTTAAAAGCTTCGTTGCTGAAAAAGTGGAAGTGGGTGGTGAAAGAAGGTAGCGAAAGGGGTGTGTATTTTGTGGAGGCGGACTCACAATGAGTCCGTTCAACACAATTTTTTTTCATAGTACATATGGTCAGTCATACTATAGATTTTCTTCAACAAGGTTTCAATTTACAAGATTCATTGAATCAGTTTTTAAAATCTACAGTACAAATCAGTTACTAAGGTTCTCTAACATATTCAATTTTCCATAATTTCCTCTTTTTGTGAACTTTTTGTTTTGTACATGATCATCACTTCATTAACTTTCTCTCATTGTCCAAAAACGAAAGAATTTACTCGATGAATTGTATGCTTCTCCAAAGAAAAAGACTCGTATGTCGAAAACTTTAAGTCATAAAAATAAGAAAAGTTATTAAGTACAAACAAAAACATCACACTTGTAAAAAAAAAATGAAAAAAAGTAAAGGACATCGCTCAAATATATCACACTCGTACGAGTGCACATCCAATTTCACTGCTGAGTATTTTTTAACACAAATTTTTATACGTGGTTGGACTCATGATGTGACCGGGGTTACTCGAGTTACTCAGTCAAGAGTTACTTGCGGGATTCGGTCAAAAGTTACTCAGTTAAGGGTTACTTTAGAGATTCAGTCAGGAGTTACTCGGTCAGGGGTTACTCGAGGAGTTACTCGAGTATTAACCGGTCACACGGTGTTGCCAACCACACAAGAAAAAAAAACTCAGTTTTTTTTAAATATTAATTTTTAAATTAGGAAAAATTGAAGCATATTAAATTATTAATGGTTTACTTCTCCATTTATTACCTTTACAAAATTATTGCATATCAATCGTCAAATAATACATTAATCCGAAAGATTACACACAAAAATTTATAAAACACGTAAATGGTACTCCTATGTAGCATCTTTTTGTAAGTAATACCCTCCCATACTGCCATACCCAAATTAAAAATAAAAAATAAAAAAGTAACAAACCAATTTACTCTCATATTTTGTGCATTGCAATATCCAAAAATGGAATATAATTTGTGGATAGAGAGGGTGAAGTATTAAGATTTATAGGTTGCTAACAAACAATGATATAATAAAAAGAAAAAAAATAAAAAAAATTAGCAATATATAGATCTCACTCAATGCAAGCATAAAATTAGGCTGGTGGATAAGTGGATAACTGTTAAGTTCAAAATTCAGTAACAAATACTAAGTAAAAAATCTAAAACACAAAGGGTCTAGGAGTTTAGGGTGCTACCTTGGGAGCCATCATAATAGAGGGCAAGGAGGAATATCCACCTTAGAACCTTAGATAGCTTAAAGTATATGCAGGTCAACAAGATTCAAACTCGCGATTTAAAATTAGGAAGTGGATCCTTAATCAACTACACTAATATAAATTTTGCTATCGTAAAACATTACTACATAATTGCAGTTACTTATATCTAAAAAAGTAAAAGTTATGTTATGAGGCAAACTGTAAAGAACAAAATAACAGATGTAATATACAAGTAGTAGTTTTTTTAGGAGGGAAAGCCGGAAAGGAGGAGAGGGTTGGGGAGATTGTTTATTGTTCTATAAATAATTGATGATTGGTGTTACTCCTGAGATCCTAAACCTGTCATTGTTATCAAGTATGCAAAAACACATGGTTAATGTGGCATCGATTCTTCGAACATGGAATAACCTAAATTAAAGAAATAACCCAAGTCTACAAAAAGTGCCAAGAACTAGCTTGTACACTTGTACATATACCACTAACAATGAATGGTTCCAAAGTTGCAAATTCAATGCAACAAACAACATTAATATTGTTATACTTTATATTATGGACATGGTACAAGTTGCCCAAGTAAAACCACACATCGCACAACCGTTTTTTTTGTGTGAAGCTTTACCACAATCAAGTAATCGTACCAAGGCAATAAAGCCAACATTATAGGCTACGCATCTCAGACTTAAAGTACTAGTACTAGTACTTTGGTACTCCGATGTATGCATTATTCCTTCATTATTGTGTTTGTATATGCATGATGGTATTTTTGAGATTATCCGATCCTCTTATATTATCGTTTTAATTTTGCTAATGGGCTAACTTTGTTTGGTAATTGACTATTTGTACGAGATGATATCAATACCGATAAAAGCGAAACTTCCCCTTAAATCTTGTTCTATATCGTTATTTCTACCATATTTCCCTATTCTTGTCAGTCACATAGAGAGTTGTTTCCGACCACGTAGATATTCATTGCCCACTTGACACTTACTATGCCAGCTACATGAACTGACACGTGG